TCCAATTCTGGGCACCACACTTTAGGAAGGATATCAAGGCCTTGGAGATCGGTACTGAGGGGGTCTAGCAGAATGGTACCAGGGATGAGGGACTTTAGTTATGTGGAGAGACTAGAGAAGCTTGTTCTCATTAGAGCAGAGAAGGTTAAGAGGAGATTTAATAGAGGTTATGAGGGGTTTGATAGAGTAACTATGGGTAAACTGTTTCCACTGGTGGGTGGGTCAGGAGTTAGGGCGCATGGATTTAAGATAATTGGCAAAAGAACCAGAGGGGAGATGAAGAGAATTTTTTTTTACACAAAGAATTATTTCGGTCTGGAATGCACTTCCCGAAAGGATGTTGGAGACAGATTCAATAACAACTTTCATGAAGGAAATTAAACGGGTTCTTGAAAAGGAAAAATTTGCAGGGGTTTGGGGGAAAGAGCAGGGAAGTGGGATTGATTGAGCAGCTCTTCCGAAAAGCTGATACAGGCCTGATGGCCCAAATGACCGCCTTCTGTGCTGTAATATTCTATAATTCTATGAACTCAGCAGCTCGTGTTCTCTCCAGCACCAGGTTCTGTGACCCTATGGTCCCCACCACCCTCGCCTGGCTCCATTGGATCAAAATCCTCATCCTCGCCTTCAAAAACCCTCGAGAGCCTTTCTCATTCCTACCCCTGTGACCTTGCTCACGCCATATGCTCTCTTGCTCAGTGGGCTTTGGCCTGGTTCATGTCCCCCACCAATCGAGCCTTCAGCATCTCTGCCTTCACCCTTTAGGACTCTATTGGATCGTCCCTTCCCTTTCCACCTTCAAGGCACATATCAAGGCCTTTCTCTTCAACTGCACCTTTGGTCACCCTCATACCCGCTCCCGGACCTCCACCCCTCCTGATCCCAACCTTCTGCTCGTATTCAAATCCTTGACTGTCCAGGGCCTTTGGATGTCTTCCAGATGTAATGTAATTTGTTGTTGATGTTGTTGTCCACACTCCCAGGTCAAGGTTAGAGACAGACTAAAGTTCCCTTCACACTGTCTGTCACACTCCTGTTTACCTAGAAAAAAAAACAAGTAAACAAAAAAACCGTTTACTTGTGTTTTTCTAACTTGTTTTTCTCGTCACCGGGAAGGTGCTGATTATTAGCTGACCAAGATCGGTGACAGTCTGGGGTGAGAGGGAAGATGAAACCTGTGTTACAGTTGATTGCGTTTCAGGAGCAGCTGAGAAAGAGTTTGACTCGGTACGAAAATCGGCACAAAGAGATTGAGAGGCTCGAGAAAGAGTACGGGGAGAGGATTCCAGAACTGAAGGTGAAAGTCACCCATTCACACTCCCTCGCCCAATCCTACCAACTCTCACACACTCGCACTCAACTTGTATACTCGCACATACACTCTCTCTCACACACATACTCACACACCGACATACACAAGTACGCAGACACCCACCGCAGACACACACCCACACATACTCAGACACATACACTCACACTCATACACAAACTCACGCGGACACCCACTACAGGCACATTCACAGACATAAACTCACACATACTCAGACACACACACACATGCACTCGCACACATACTAAACACACTCACAGATGCACACTCCCACACACAAATACAGACACATTGAAAAAAACACACACACGCAGACACCCACCATAGACATATTCACAGACACACACACACACCCACACACACACACAAACACAGATCACAGACACACACACAGACGCACAAAGACACACACACACACACACTCACACGCCGTTTTCTCTCTCTCTCTCCCCCAGGCGAGTGCGGACTCCCTACGGGATCACATCTCCTCAGAGTTCCAGACTCTCCTGACATTCTTGCAGGATGAGCGGGACTCTCTGTTGGGAAAATTGGGGCTGGAGGAGGCTCGCATCCTGCGGGAGATGAACGAGGAGCGGGTGAGACTGTGGGAGGAGAGATTGAGCCTGGACGCAGCAATCAGTGATGTCCGTCACAGCCTAACCCAGAGTGAACCTCTTGCTCTGCTCAAGGTCAGCTCAGCATGAGTCAGTGTCTTGTCAGCCCAACTGGGCCTGTAACGGCATGGCTCTGCCTGGCTCAGCGTGCGTCAGCCCGACACCGTGTGTAAAGCAAAAAAACCCTCAGATAATATCCTCGTTGGCAGTCTCGCTCTCTCTCGTTCTCTCTTTTTATTATTCAAGATCCTCACCCTCACCTACAAGGCCATTCACGGCCTCGCTCTCTCCCATACCACTCCGACCTACTATCCCCCTACCTACCTGCCCGTACCCTCCGTTCCTCTGGCTCCGGTCTGCTCCACATCCCCCGCCCCAACCGCCCTACCATCGGTGGTCGGGTCTTCAGCCTCTCAGCCCCGAGGCTCTGGAACTCCATCCCCAGTGCCTTCGCCGCTTCCTCCCTTTCCTCCTTCAAGGCCGGTCTCAAGACCTTTCTCTTCGACCTTCAGCCTTCAGCTCCCCTCTCGACTCTCTACCCCCTCCTCGCTCCCTCCCTTCCCTCCCCTCACCCTGACCATTTCCCCCACTGCTCGGGTCCCGACCCAACTGTCCAGGGCCTTGGGACGTCCTCCCGACGTGAAAGGCGCTCCATAAATGCGATCTTGTTGTTGTTGTTGTTGTTATATATCTGGGGCTTATGATTTTTGAGGTTTAAATGTTTCGATTTTTTTTTTTTTTTTAAAAATGTCTTTTGGACTTCAAGATTTGCACTTTGTGCAACGAGAATATTCCGATGTTTAATAAAAATAATTCATTGATTAGATAAACAGTGATTTCAGTTTTTTAGTTTTTTTTGGTTATAACTTAATGTTCTGAGCTGCAAATCTAAAACGGTTTCTTGTTTTTTTAACAGAATGTGAAAGACTTGACAACAAGGTACGTCAGACTCTACTACAGACCAAGCCTCAGTCCCGCTGTCGCTCTCTCTCTCTAACTCTCTCTCTCTATTACTCTCACTCTCTTTCAGTCTATCTGTCGCATTCTCTCCCTCAGTTTCTCTGTTGCTCTCTCAGTCTCTGTCACCCTCTCTGTCTCAATCTCTCTGCCTCTCTGTCGTTCTCTTTCCCAGTCTCTCTCTCAATCTCTATGTATCTCTCTCTCTCTCTCTCAGTCTCTCTCACCTCCACTCTCTCAGACTCTCTGTGCTTACAGGGTGGGAGCAGTGGCCCTGGACAATTCGGAGCGATGCCCAAACTGGAAGCTGTGTGTGGGTGTGTTCCGGGGACCGCTACAGTACTTGGCTTGGAAACGGATGAGACGCGTGATCAGCCCAGGTCAGGCCGCGAGACACAAAGCTCTGTCTGAGAAACAAGGCAAACAGGATTGCTAATCTGTGTGCCGACCAGTTGAGTTAGAGGGTGTGCAACGTAGGTCACTCGGTTTGTTCTTGGGATGAAGGGGTTGACTTTACAAGAAGAGGCCTATCTTCTCTAGAATATAGAAGAATTAGAGGTGGTCTTATAGAAACCTATAAGATTCTTAAAGGTCTGGACGGCGTAGATAGTATGAGACTGTTACCCCTGGTTGGAGAATCTAAAACTAGGGATCATAGTCTCGGGATTAAGGGTCAGCCCTTCAGAACAGAATTGAGAAAACATTTCTTCACTCAGAGGGCAGTGAATTTATGGGATTCTCTACCCCAGAAGGCTGTGGATGTTCAGTCATTGAACATATTCATGACAGATCGATAGATCTTTTTTAAAACTAAATGGAATAAGGCATATGAGGATAGGGCAGGTAAATGCAATTAGGTTAGAAGATCAGCCATGATCTTATTAAATGGCGGGGCAGGCTCGAGGGGCCGAACGGCCTACTCCTGCTCCTATTTCTTATGTTCTTATGAGTTCAGATCCTCAGAGGTCACACTTATGCAATAAAGTGCTCTGGTCAGGCCACAACTTCAATACTACCATTTAACTCTCAGTCATTCCCACGCTCAGTCCTTCACTCTCTGACCTCTGAGTCATTCCAGGCTGATGCTCCAGTGCAGTGCTGCGGGGAAAGAACACCCCACTAATGGCAAGTCTTCGGACAAGACCTTAAAGCTTACTCGTCACGTATGAAGCGCTTTGAAAATTCCTCTGAGCGTAAATTGCTGAATTCCAATAATAAAATTCCTTACATTTCATATAGCGCCTTATCATAACTTTCAAGACATCTCAAAGTGTTTTGAGAATAAAGTGAATTGACTGTATATTTTGTGGCCAAAGTGCAGCAGCCAATTGCGCCCAACAGCGTCCCACAAACTGTCGTGGATTGAGTGACTAAATTATTTTGTATATATATATTTTTTGAAGGGATTATTACCCCCGGATAAGTGATCCATCAATTTACTAACACCTGGGTTCCTACTTACTGCTGGGTAAACACAGGCGTGAGGAAACTTGCCTAAGGTTTCACCTGCTAGGAGTCGAACCGACATCCTCTCGCTTGCTCTAACCACCGAGTTACAGGACTCCATTGATCGCATTTCCTCGCGCATCAAGTACCCACATCTCACACAGTGCCTTTCACCCGAGGAGGACGGCTCCCAGCTCTTCACAGGGCTCAATGTAAATCCGTGCTCTTTGCGAACACGGCAGGCAAATTGCACATAGCGACATCCACGCTCTCTGTGAAGTGAGTGAGTGATTTTATCAGTCGGTCACAATACCAGGAGAAAAATTCCTTCTTACCACCCCACCACCACCCAGGTGTCGTGGAAATCTTAGCATCCGCCTGAACAGGCCACAGATGCAAAATAATATTTAAGGTCTCAGTCAAAGCATTGGTATCGCCGACAATGTGGAGTTCCCTCCCGCACTGGCACTGCACAGGAGCATCAGCCTGGACTATGAGCTCGGAGTCTTCGACATGGAGCTCAAACCCCCAGAGCCTCCTGACTCGGAGGCTAGAGAGATTAACCAACTGACCCGGGCTGACTTGTGCTGCGTTGTTAATTACTCAGTCTATAAACCCTTATATAGATAAAAGGGATGTGAATGGTTTTTTTCTGTCAGTGGCAGATGTTAGTGGTTACACCCGAGAAAGAGCGAGCAAGCGAGAGTGAGAGTGTGGGTGAAAGTGAGAGAGAGAGAGAGAGAGAGAGAGAGAGATACAACCCACACATCTGAAACCAGGTTTGCAAAGACAAGCGATCGGCTTTCACTGCGAGTCTTTCCTCCTCATCTGAGCTATCAAACATGTGTGAGTTATTTTTATTTGCACACGTCGGTCAGGATGTGGTTAAGTGCAGGTGTGGCAGGACTTCAAAACAAGATAACCTAACATGTTATTTTCTCCCTGGGAGGGTGTCTCGCAGTGCCTCACAGCACTCGCTTTAAAGTGCAGTGACCGTGTGTTTTGAGCACCAATGTGGTAGCCCGTTTGTGCACAGCGACATCCCGTAAACAGCCATGAAGCAAGCAAGCGATTTTGATGATCTCAATCTGCGGCTTCAGTCACTCAGTCCCTCTCATTCTGAGTCAAGAGGTTTGGGGGGGTTCGAGCCCCCAGGTCGGAGACTCTGAGCTCTCACAGTCCAGACTGACTCCACTCCAGCATCAGAGAGTTTTTCTCCTGGTGTCCCGGCTCAGGTGAAATAGCTCACTCGCTTCATGACTGTTTTTGCGGTACGTCACTGCCCGCAGATTGGCTGCACGGAACACGCTGTGGCCTGGGAAGCTCTGCGGCACATCCCCCTCACGGGTTAAATGTAAGGTTAGAATGATTTGACAGATCTCCGAGATAATGCGTCTTTTCCTCTGCCCGCTGGCGGTTAATCTCTCCGCTCTCACTGCCTGACGTGGCGCTGTTGCAGAGCAGCTTTTACAGTTTGTGGTTAACCGCGTTACGAGCCTTGCATCTTCCTCTCACCCCGTCCCCGGGTGTGCACACAGCCCTGCAAGTAGACCCCCTCCCCCCGCGCCCCCGCGCCACAGCCCTCTGTTCCAGGGCGGCCTGATCGCGGTGACGGGTCGATGCGGCGTGTCAGACGCCCAAGTCGATCGTGGTGATGGGTTTGTGTGTGTGTGTGAGAGAGAGAGAGACACCCGGCTGATCACGGTGACGGCTTTCCACGTTGATCAGACACCACCTAATCGTGGTGATGTATTGCTGTGTGGGGCAGACACCGGCTGATCGCGGTGATGGGTTTCCACGTAGTTGGGGTTCGCTGGGCTGAGCTTATCGTAACCCCGAATCCCATTCTTTTTGTTCCAGCCCCGGCTGCCATGACCCTCGATCCCAGCACCGCAAACCCTTACCTCACCTTAAATGAGGAGCTGACGAGCGCCCAATACTCGTTCTCCCCTCGCCAGCGGCCCGACTCTCCACGACGCTTCGATTTCTGCGCCTGCGTCCTTGGGTCCGAGCGCATTTCCTCTGGCCGCCACTACTGGGAGGTGGAGGTGGGCGGGCAGACGGACTGGGACATCGGGGTGGCCTCCGCGGACAGTGATTGCTTGGGCTGGATCGTCATGACGCCCGAGAACGGTTTCTACACCTTCGGGCATGTGGAGGAGGCCCGCGTGGGCGTGTACGTGGACCACGAGGTTGGTCAGGTCTCCTTCTACAGCGCGGACAGCGGCTGCCATCTGCACACACTGAACGGCTGCTTCTCCGGCCCCCTCCTCCCCTTTTACTACCCCAGCGCTGACACCACCGCCCCCCCACTCACCCTCTGTCACCACTGACTCACCTTCACTCCATCCTTTCCTCACTCCCTCCCTCACTCATTCACTAACTCATTCACTCACTCACTCCCTTCTTCACTTACTCCCTCGCTCATTGATTCACTCAGTCTGTCCCTCACTCACTCCATCCTGCCCTACCTCACTCGATCGATCCCCCTCTCACTCACTTACTTATTCACTGACTCCCTAACTCACTCACTCCCTTAATCATTCTCTCATTCATTCACTCCCTCCCTCCCTCCCTCACATCCTTCCTCATTCATTCACTCCCTCCCTCACTCGCTCAATCACAAACTCACGGATTCCTGTAGCGTAGTGGTTAGAGCACTTGCCTCACAAGGTGGGGGACATGGAACAGGTCAATGTCTGTCAGCAAACAACAACAACAACAACAACAAGATTCCATTTATTGAGCGCCTTTCACGTCGGGAGGACGTCCCAAGGCGCTGAAGTGGACAGGTTGCTAAGGTGTTAATTGGTTGCAGAGGTAGGGAGGGCAAGACCGCGGAGGGCTTTGAAGGCGATGGCAAGGGTCTAAAACTCTATCTTCCTGGGGATGGGGAGCCAGTGAAGCCGCGTGAGGACGGGGGCTGATCGGAACAAGAACCGTAATGCGGGAGAGGACTTGAGCTGCAGATTTCTGAGTAATCTGAAGTTTGTGGAGAGAAGAGTTGGGGGAAGGCTGACAAGCGGGGAGTTAGCATAGTCAAGCCTGGAAGTGATGAGAACATGGATGAGGGTATGCGTGGCCTGAGGGGAGGGGCAGTGACAGAGTCGGGCGGTGTTGTGCGGGTGGGGGAAGGCAGAATGCGTCATAGCACGGAAGTGGGGGGGTTAAAGGACAGTTGAGGGTCGCACAAGACAACATCAACGTTCCGGACTGGCTCAGGGAGATGGAGAGTACATCCATGGATGGTGACTCCTGAGGTGTGGAGGCACTGAGTGGAGCCAAGCAGGAGGGCCTCAGTCTTGTAGTCATTCAACTGTAGAAAATTGGCTCTCATCCAGGACCCTTTCCCTCCCTCATTCTGTCCCTCCCTCACTCAGTCACTCAGTCATTCAATCACTCGCTCCCTCTTTCACTCAAACTCTCTCTCACTTCACGGCCGCCCACACTCTTTCTTCGTCTCTCTTACTCTCACTCTATCTCTCATTCTCTCTCCCTCATTCTCTTTTTCATTATCTCTCTCACACTCTCTCTCTCTCTCTCTCTCACTCTCTCTCTCAATAAATAGCTCTTGATAACCTGTTCCTGGTGTTTATTTTATGATTGAGGATGGAAGAGTTCAGATGCATACTCAGGGTATCCTTCACACACCGTCACCCACATCCTCTGTTTCTGAATTTCTCTCTCTGACCATCTTGGCCAGGTAGTGCAGTTGATCCAGTAAATGGACTTGCAGCAAGCGTTCGATAAGTTGCCACGTAATAGACTAGTTAGCAAAATTTAAACCATTGGTATAAAAGGGACAGTGGTGGTATCGATACGAAATTGGCTGAGAGACAGAATAATTGGTGAACGGTTGTTTTTCAGACTGGAGTGAAGTGTACAGTGGCATCCCCAGGGGTCGGTTATAGGTCCGCAACTCTTTTTGATACACGTGAATGACTTGGACTTGGGAATACAGAGGAAAATTTTAAAGCTTGCGAATGAAACTAAACTTGTGAACATGGTAAATGTTGCATATCGCTTTACGAGGAGCCCTGTAGCTCAGTGGTTAGAGCCTCTGGGGCTAATAATTTCTTTAAAAAAATAATGAATTGGTTATTTCAATCCACCATTGTCTGTGGGACACTGCTGTGCGCAATTGGCTGCCGCGTTCGCCCACAAATATACAGTCAATTCACTTTACAGTATATTCTGTGAAGTGCATTGAGATGTCTCGAAGTCATGATGAGGCGCTGTATCAAATGCAAGGAATATTATTATTAAGTCTAAATTGGCAATTGGACATTGATCAATGAGAAGCAAAGCAAGAAGCATAAAAAGCATATACCTCGAGATATAGTGAACATGCAGAATTAAATGATACAATTGCAGAAACAGTAATGGACCAGACTGAAGAAATATTAGCGAGGCACGGAACACCAAGGGAACTCATAAGTGATAATGGGGCACTATTTGCGGGTGCTGAATGTAAAAAAAATCACAAAACAGTGGGACATCGTCACCATGATATCCTCAAAGCGAAGTCCTGTAGCTCAGTGGTTAGAGCACTCGCTTTGCAAGTGAGAGACCTGAGTTCAATTCCAGGCAGAGGGCCAAACCTCGGGCAAGTTTCCTTACTCCACACAGAGCCTAATAATAATCCCTCCAAAACCAAAAGCAATAATAAATTGGTCATTTTCAATCCACGACTGTTTGTGGGACATTGCTGTGCGCAATTGGCTGCCGCGTTCGCCCACAAATATACAGTGAATTCACTTTGCAGTGTGTTCTGTGAAGCGCTTTGGGACGTCCTCCCGACGTGAAAAGCGCTATATCAAATGCAAGGATTATTATTATACTATTATTATTATATAAAGCATGGCACGGTACAGAGAATGAAGAAAATGTAGAAGAAAGCCGAGGAATCAAAGGAAGTTAAATATTTGGCATTATTAGCTTAAATCGATAGATGACCATAGAAAGTCGCCGGCACAGATGTTGATTTCCAGAAGATTAAGAGATGGATTAATATGGGAGGAAACAAAATTGAGACCGCAAGTACAGAGAAAAAGAAATTGGAAGAAACAAGGGCAAGAGCTACAGAAGGAAAAAGCTCGCAAAAAAAGAAGCTATATGGATTGAACTGAAGGATGGATAAAAGAAAAATTTGGGGGAAAGATAAGAACCCCAGATCATATAATAATAATAATAATAATAATAATAATAATAATAATAATAATGATCCTGGCATTGGATATAGCACTTTCATGTCTTCTAGATGACTCAAAGAGTTTCACAGAATATACCATAAAGTGAATTGACTGTATATTTGTGGGCAAAATGCAGCAGCCAATTATTTATGCACAGCCACAAACAGTCATGAATCGAACTGACCAATTTATTGTGTTTTTTTTCTGGAGGGATTATGCCTGTGTGGAGTAGGGAAACTTACCCAAGGTTTCGCCCTGCCGGGAATCTAACCCAGGTCTCTCGCTTACGAGGCGAGTGCTCTAACCACTGAGCCACAGGACTCCACCCATGTTGGATAAAAGATGGAAAAGGAAAGATATATAGAGACGAACATCACGGGAGATCAGACAAAGAAAAATAAAGAAATCACAGGAGAAGAAGGAAAAGTAGAACGAAGATCAAGGAGTGGCATTGCGCGAAAGGTGCTGACTGGGCAGAGTGTTGAAAAAAGTTGAAGAGTGTGGTTGAAATAAAGGGACCACTAATCTAAACTGTGTTGTGGATTAACAAATAATTCGGTAAACAGTGAGGAAGATGGTAGAAGACTGTGGGAGGACAGAGACAGACTGGTTAAATGGACACACTTGGCAGATGAAGTTTAATGCAGAGAAGTGTGAGGTGATGCATTTTGGGAGGAAGAATGAATGAAGAGAAGCAATATACAATAAATCGTACAGTTTTAAAAGGGGGTACAAGAGCAGAGAGACCTGGGGGTTCACATAGACAGGTATTTGAATGTGATAGGACAGGTTACTAGAGCTATTAAAAAGCATATGGGATCCTTGGCCTTATCACTAGAGGCATCGAGTACAAAAGTGAGGAAGGTCCGCTTTAACTTTATAAGTCATTATAATAACTTTATAAGTCATTGGTTTGGCCTAAGCAGAGCACCACGCTTCAGGAAGGATATTAAGCCATTGGAGAGGGTGCAGAGGAGATTAATCAGCATGGTACCAGGGATAAAAGACTTTAGTTATGCAGAGAGACTAAATAAGATGGGATTGTTCTCCTTACAGCAGAGAAGGTTAAGGGGAAATGTAATAGAGTGTTCAAAATTATGAGGGGTTTTGATAGAGTAGGATAGGGGAAACATTTCCGGTGGCAGGTGGTTCTGTAAACAGGGCACATAGCTTTAAAATAATTGGCAAAAGAACCACAGGACAGATGAGGAGAATTGTTTTACACAGAGTTGCTGAAGTCTGCAATTCACCGTCTGAAAGGTTGTTGGAAACAGATACGATAATAGCTTTCGAAAGGGAATTCGATAGGTCCTTAAAAAGGAAGAATTTGCAGGGCTACAGGGTAAGAGCGGGGGAGTGGGACGTGTTGGTAGCTCTTTCAAAGAGCTGGCACAGGCACAGTGGAACAAATGGCCTACGTCTGTGCTGTAAAATTCTGTGATTCTCTGATTCACACTTCTCTGTATTAAATTTCATCTGCCCGGTCGGTGTCTGTCCATTTTACCATTCCGTCTATAGAGGGAGCTTTACTGCGTCTCTAACCCTGACCTAAGAGTGTGGGCGGACAGTGTAGACAGAGCTTTATCCCTGTGTCTATAACCCTGACCTGGGAGTGGGGACAGACAGTGCAGAGGGACTTTTACTCTGTCGCTAACGCCAAACTGGGAGACAGTGTAGAAGGAGCTGTACTATATCTCTAACGCTGACCTGGGAGTGTGGGCGTACAGTTGAGAGGGAACTTTACGCTTTCTCTTATCCTGACCGAGGAGTGTGGACGGACAGTGTAGAGGGAGTGCCACCACTGCCTCTGCCCGAGGTACAATTTACAGGAAAATCCAGTGACTCAGTTTCCGATATTTGGTCATTTTGTTTCCAAAGTCAACAGCAGTTTTTTTTTGTGGGAGTGAAAGGTTGAGGGGACGTGATGGAGATTGTCACAGTGCAGTGGGTGGGGGTGGGGGTTGTTGACAGTGTGTTTGGGGAGATGCTGTCTCCACTGGGCGAGGAGTCAGGGATGGAAGGACATGGATCATAGAGTCATGGAGCCATACAGCACAGAAGGAGGCCATGGTCTGTGCCAGAGCTATCCAATTCGATCCCACTCCCCCACTCTCTGGGGGAGAGAGACACTGCAAACTTGTCCTCTCCAAATAATTATCTACTCCTCTTTTAAAAGTGGTTATCGAATCGTCTTCCACCGCCCCATTCGGCCAACGATTTCCAAATCCGAACAACTCGCTGTCTGGAAACATTTCTCCTCACCGCACCACACACCACCCCACCCCCACCCCCAACCACCCGTTTCTTTTAACAACTAATAAATTGGTGTCCTTAGGTTACTGACCCACTAACCAGTGGAAATAACCGACCCATACGCTCTCCCCCACCACAGCGGAAATAGTTTTCTCATCGTTCACCCTATCGAAACCCCTCAATTTTTGAAAACTTCTATTAAGTTTCCTCGTAACCTCCTCGGCTCCAAGTAAAATAACTAAAAGTGTGGTGTCCAGAACTGAACACAGTATTCTAGCTGAGGCCCAAACAACAACAACAACAACAATAAGCTTACATTTGCATAGCGCCTTTCACGTCGGAAGGACAACCCCTAACCAGTGATTAATAAAGGTTCATCATAACTTCATGACTTTGTATTCTATCTATGAAGCCTAGTAACCCGTATGCGTTTCTAACAGCTGTATCTGCCTGTCCTGCCACCTTCAAAGATTTACCGATATGAACCCCCAGGTCTCTCTGTTCCTTCAACCCTTTTGGATTGTACCATCAGCTTATATTGCCCGTCCAGATCAAAAACAGCAGCGGTCCCAATACTGATCCCTGGGGACCCACTGCACAATTCCCTCCCGTCAGAAAGACAACCGTTCACGACTACTGTCTAGTTTCTGCCTCCCAACCAGTCCTGTATCCATGCCACCACTGTCCCTTTAATACTGTGGGTTTCTATTTTGCTTACAAGTCTCTTATGTGGGACTTTATCAAACGCCTTTTGAAAATCCAGATAAACTACAACAACGACACTGCCATATGTATTATAATACACAGCTCTCACACACACAGTGAATACACAGCTCTCACACACACAGTGAATACACAGCTCTCACACACACAGTGAATACACAGCTCTCACACACACAGTGAATACACAGCTCTCACACACAGTGAATACACAGCTCTCACACTCTCTCTGTTACTTCATTAGGTTTGTCAGACATGTTTGGCCTTAAACAAATGCGCATCGGCTGTCCTTTATTAAACCATATTTTCCTAAATGAAATTTTATTTTGTCCTGCATTATAATATCTTATATCTATATAAGATAAACTATATCTTATAGTTTCCCCACTCCCGACATCAGGGTGACTGGCCTGTCGTTCCTGGGTTCATCCCTCTGCCCCTTTTTGTACCGGGGATTAACCTTTGCATGAAATTAGTCCCTATTAGATATAAGAGAATCGCAAGAGGAACGAAAGGAGAGCTCACGAGAGATTTATTTCCCACAGAAAGTCGCGTGTCAGATAATGGCTCAGTCATTCGCGCTCTCGTCTCCAAGTCAGGAGGTTGTACTGTCCAGTGCCTTGTTGTTGTTGTTGTTGACAAAAACAATAATAAATTGGTCATTTTCAATCCACGACTGTCTGTCGGACATTGCTGTGCGCAATTGGCTGCCGCGTTCGCCCACAAATATACAATCAATTCACTTTGCAGTATATCCTGTGAAGCGCTTTGGGATGTCCTCCCGACGTGAAAAGCGCTATATCAAATGCAAGGATTATTATTATTATTGTGGGTTCCTGCGCGGGTCACAAACACACGGCTGATCATGGTGGTAGGTTTCCATGTGGTTCAGACACAAGGCTGATCATAGTGATGGGTTTCTGAGCGAGTCAGATGTCCAGTTAATCACAGCTATTGGTTGCCATAATAATAATAATAATCCTTGCATTTGATATAGTGCTTTTCACGTCGGGAGGACGTCCCAAAGCGCTTCACAGAACAGACTGTAAAGTGAATTGACTGTATATTTGTGGGCGAACGCGACAGCCAATTGCGCACAGCAATGTCCCACAAACAGTCGTGGATTGAAAATGACCAATTTATTATTGTTTTTGGTTTTGGAGGGATTATTATTAGGCTCTGTGTGGAGTAAGGAAACTTGCCCGAGGTTTGGCCCTCCGCCTGGAATTGAACTCAGGTCTCTCACTTGCAAAGCGAGTGCTCTAACCACTGAGCTACAGGACTCCATGTGTGTCAGACACCAAATTGATGACAGTGATGGGTTTCTGAGTGTGTCCCGGAAGAATGAATAACAGACAGTTTGTCAACAAAAAATAATGCTGCAATATATCAGGAATTAACGATTAACCTCAATCAATAATTACCTCGGGAGCAGAGAGAGAAAGAGAGTGATAAAACGACAGAGTGAGAGAAACCGAGAGGGAGGCGGGGAGACAGATTGAGAAAGACGGAGAAGAGCAGAGAAAGTCAGAGAGAGAAAACTAGACCGAGAGAGAGAGAGAGAGAGAGAGAGAGAGAGATTGAAATTGAGAGGGAGAAATAAAGAGAAAGAGATGTAGACCCCCACAACGCCCCCATTTGAGAAAGAAAAAGAGAGAAAGGCAGAGAGAGAGAGAGAGAGAGAGAGAAAGGAGAATTGAAAGACAGAGACTGAGAGACAGAGAAAGAAACAAAGACAGGGAAGGGAGATTGACAGACCCCACCAGACATACCTGACTGAGAAAGAAACAGATAGAAGACGAGAGAGCGAGAGACAGATTGAGAAAGACAGACAGAAAGAGACAGAGAGAAAGAAAGTCAGAGAGCAGAAGTGCAACGAGAGAGAGAGCGAGAGAGAGCGAGAGACAGAGCAAGAGAGAGCCCGAGGGACGGAGATTGCGAGATAGATGGTGAGAAACAGAGAGACAGACGGACGCATAGGTAGACAGAACCCACCCCACTCCGGACTCGGTGTGGATGGCTGTGAGCGAGTTACAGACATGAAGTCAGTGTGGCTGTTGCTCGTGGTTTGCTCGTTGCTGTCTGTCACGGCAGGAAAACCCTCGTAAGTTTGTTTGTGAAACAACTAAAACCCTGAGAGAGGAGTTCTCTGCGGTTCTCTTTGCTCCCGTTAAGTGCGCCACTCGCTCTCTGGCCTCCGAGTCAGGGGGTTGTGGGTTCGAGCCGCCACGTGTTGAAAACTCTGAGAGAGAGAGAGAGAGAGAGACGCATGTTCGAGACCTTAAACCTGTTCAGGCGGACGTTAAGGATCTCCCGCGGCGCTACTTGGGGCGGCGGAGGAGAGACGTTTCTCTCCCGGTGCCCTTAGCTCGTGTACGGTCCCGCACCAGGCTTCGCGACCACATCACTCCCACCCTCGCCCTCACCCTCACCCTCACTCCCACCCTCGCCCTCACCCTCGCCCTCGCTCGCCTCCACTGGCGCCCCATCCCCAGAGGATCGAATTCAAGATCCTCATCCTCACCTACAAGGCCATTCACGGCCTCGCTCCCTCCTACCTCTCCGACCTACTATCCCTCTACCAACCCGCCCGTACCCTCCGTCCCTCTGGCTCCGGTCTGCTCCACGTCCCCCGCCCCAACCGCCCTACCATCGGTGGCCTTCAGCCTCTCAGCCCCGAGGCTCTGGAACCCCATCCCCAGTGCCTTCGCCACTTCCTCCCTTTCCTCCTTCAAGGCCGGTCTCAAGACCTTTCTCTTTGACCTTCAGCCTTCAGCTCTCCTCTCGACTCTCTACCCCCTCCTCGCTCCCTCCCTCCCCTCCCCTCACCCTGACCATTTCCCCCCTCCTTGCTCCCTCCCTTTCCCTCCCCTCACCCTGACCATTCCCCCCCCACTGCTCGGTTCCCGACCCAACTGTCCAACGCCTCGGGGGACGTCCTCCCGACGTGAAAGGCGCTCTATAAAATGAAATCTTGTTGTTGTTGTTGTTGTTGTTGTTGTTCATGGCTGTTTGCAGAGACCTCGCCGTGAGCCGACGGGCCGCCGCGTTGCCCTGCAATTTTACACAGTCACTATACTTTACAGCGGAAGCGCTGTGAGACATCCTCCCCATGTCTTATCACAAACTTATCACGAGGTTAATTTTGGCGGATTATTACTTCCCGCCGGTGCTGTTGCCAGGATTTTCCTGACGGCACCCAGTGCCCTCCACGTTGGAGTGTCAGAGCCGGTAACCCTGCAGTTACTGGGGGTGATGGACGGTCACCGGGAGCCGGTCTCAGTCGCCGTCTACCTCGAGGAATTCGTCAGCCGAAAATTGTCCTCCGAACACTACCAAATCTTTCTCACCGTCCAAAATAACTTCACCGCCGTTCTCCACATACAGGTAACAGGCAGACTGTGCGCACACTCACTCACTCACTCACTCACTCACCGTGCACACTCACTCACTCACTCACTCACCGTGCACACTCACTCACCGTGCACACTCACTCACTCACTGTACGCACTCACTCACTCACCGTGCACACTCATTCACTGTGCGCACACTCACTCACTCACTCACTCACTCACCGTGCACACTCACTCACTCACCGTGCACACTCACTCACTCACTCACTCACTCACTCACTCACCGTGCACACTCACTCACTCACCGTGCACACTCACTCACTCACTCACTCACCGTGCACACTCACTCACTCACTCACTCACTCACCGTGCACACTCACTCACTCACCGTGCACACTCACTCACTCACTCACTCACCGTGCACACTCACTCACTCACCGTGCACACTCACTCACCGTGCACACTCACTCACCGTGCACACTCACTCACTCACCGTGCACACTCACTCACTCACTCACCGTGCACACTCACTCACCGTGCACACTCACTCACCGTGCACACTCACTCACTCACTCACCGTGCACATTCACTCACTCACTCACCGTGCACACTCACTCACTGTGCACACTCACTCACTGTACGCACTCACTCACCGTACGCACTCACTCACCGTGCACACTCACTCACCGTGCACACTCACTCACTTTACGCACTCACTCACCGTGCACACTCACTCACCGTGCACACTCACTCACTTTACGCACTCACTCACCATTCACACTCACTCACTTTACGCACTCACTCACCGTGCACACTCACTCACTGTACGCACTCACTCACCGTGCACACTCACTCACTGTACGCACTCACTCACCGTGCACACTCGCTCACTGTACGCACTCACTCACCGTGCACACTCACTCACTGTACGCACTCACTCACCGTGCACACTCACTCACCGTACGCACTCACTCACTGTGCACACTCACTCACCGTACGCACTCACTCACCGTGCACACTCACTCACCGTGCACACTCGCTCACTGTACGCACTCACTCACCGTGGACACTCGCTCACCGCACCGACCACTCACTCACTCAGTACACACACTCGGTCTCACCCACCATGCAAACTCACTCAATGCGCAGTCACTTAACCACTGCTCACACTCACTCACCGCATCAAACACACACACTCGTACATCACATCATGCACACAACAACAACAACAACAACAGCAGCAAATTACATTTATAGAGCGCCTGTCAGGTCGGGAGGACGTCCCAAGGTGCTGATCATGGACACTCACTCACTGCAGACACACACACTCACTGTGCACACTCATTCACTGCACACACTCACTCACCGAGCATACACACTCAGACGCAGACACACAGAGGCGCTCACGCAGACAGACAGACAGACGGACGGACGGACGGACGGACGGACGGACGGCCGGACAGACGGACAGACGGCTGGACAGCCAGACAGCCAGACAGCCAGCCAGACAGACAGCCAGCCAGCCAGCCAGCCAGCCAGACAGACAGACAGACAGACAGACAGACAGACAGACAGACAGACAGACAGACAGACAGACAGACAGACAGACAGACAGACAGACAGACAGACAGACAGACAGACAGACAGACAGACAGACAGACAGACAGACAGACAGACAGACAGACAGACAGACAGACAGACAGTGCGCTGGAGTCCTGTGGCTCGTGATTAAAGCACTCGCCTCGCAAGCAAGAGACCTGGGTTCCATTTCCTTGGATGAGTTTCCCTTCTCCACACACCAGACAATAATCACTCAAGAAAAGAAACAATAATAAATTGGCCGCTTCAATTCAAAATGGTCTGCGGGACACTGCCGTGTACGAGTGGCTGCCGGGTTTCGCCCACAAATACTTAGACAATTCACTTCACGGAGCGTTCCGTGACGCACTTTGAGATAATAATAATAATAATAATAATAATAATCCTCGCATTTGATATAGCGCTTTTCACGTCGGGAGAGGACGTCCCAAAGCGCTTCACAGAACACACTGTAAAGCGAATTGACTGTATATTTGTGGGCGAACGCGGCGGCCGATGGCGCACAGCGGTGTCCCGCAGACGGTCGTGGATTGAAAATGACCAATTTATTATTGTTTTTTTTGGAGGGACTATTATTAGATGTCCAGAAGACGTGAAAATGCTTATATCGAATGCAAGGATTATTACACAGACAGACACACGTCCACACAAACACAGACACACGCGTGTCAAACACACGCACAGAGAGAAGCAGAAACAAACACACACAGGAACGCACAGACACACACACACACACACAAAGATAGACGCACGTGTACGTAAACACACACACACGCACACACACACACACAAAGATAGACACAAAGATAGACGCACGTGTACGTAAACACACACACACGCACACACACACACAAAGATACACACAGAGACACGCACATAGAGACACGCACACGCAGACACGCACACGCAGACGCACCCATTTGCTGACGTGTTCTCTCAGATCTCTCAGCAGCGAGCGGCTGAGCTGAGGCTGTGGCGGAGGCGAAAGTCGGGCATCCCACACGTCTTACTTGTGGCTGAGGTGTTCGACATGAAGCAGAAAGTCTACCTGCGACTGGCGCCCAGTCTCACCCGCCTGGTCATCCAACCCGACCAGCCCTCCTACAGCCTGGGGGGGCGAGGTGAGATCTCCCCCCCCCCCACCCCACACCGCTACCCCACACCCCACCCCACCACCTCGCTTTCCAACTCACCAACCCTCATACCCCATCCCACACCACCCCCAACCCTCATACCCCAACCCACACCGCTCCCCCACACCCCCACCCCCACCACCACCTCGCTTTCCAACTCACCAACCCTCATACCCCAACCCACACCGCCCCAACCCTCACACCCCAACCCACACCGCTCCCCCACACCTCCACCCCACCACCACCTCGCTTTCCAACTCACCAACCCTCATACCCCAACCCACACCACCCCCAACCCACACATCCCAACCCTCATACCCCATCCCACACCGCCCCAACCCTCATACCCCAACCCACACCGCTCCCCCACACCTCCACCCCACCACCACCTCGCTTTCCAACTCACCAACCCTCATACCCCATCCCACACCGCCCCAACCCTCATACCCCATCCCACACCACCCCCAACCCTCATACCCCATCCACACCACCCCCAACCCTCATACCCCATCCCACACCGCTCCCCCACACCCCCACCCCACCACCCCAACCTCATACCCCAACCCACACCACCCCCAACCCTCATACCCCAACCCACACCACCCCCAACCTTCATACCCCAACCCACACCACCCCCAACCCTCATACCCCAACCCAACCCACACCACCCCAACCCACATGGCCAAACTCACCCCCCCAACCCTCATACACCAACCCACACCACCCCAACCCACACCCCCAACCCTCATACCCCAACCCACACCACCCCAACCCTCATACCCACACCGCTCCCCCACACCCCACCCTACCACCACCTCGCTTTCCAACTCACCAACCCTCATACCCCATCCCACACCGCCCCAACCCTCATACCCCAACCCTCATACCCCAACCCACACACCCCAACCCACACACCCCAACCCACACCACCCCCAACCCTCATACCCCAACCCAACCCACACCACCCCAACCCACACCCCCAACCCTCATACCCCAACCCAACCCACACCACCCCAACCCACACCCCCAACCCTCATACCCCAACCTACACCGCCCCAACCCACACCGCCAAACTCACCCCCCAACCCTCACACCCCAACCTACACTGCCAAACTCACAACCCCAACCTCACCCCCAACCCACACCGCCAAACTCACCCCCCCAACCTCACCCCCAACCCACACCGCCAAACTCACCCCCAACCCTCATACCCCAACCCACACCGCCAAACTCACCCCCCAACCCTCATACCCCAACCCACACCGCCAAATTCACCCCCCCCAACCCTCATACCCCAACCCACACCACCCCAACCCACACCGCCAAACTCACCCCCCCAACCTCACGCCCCAACCCTCACCACCCCAACCCACACCGCCAAACTCACCCCCTAACCCTCATACCCCAACCCTCATACCCCAACCCACACCGCCCCAACCCACACCGCCAAACTCACCCCCCAACCTCACCCCCAACCCTCATACCCCAACCCACACCACCCCAACCCACACCGCCAAACTCACCCCCCCAACCTCACGCCCCAACCCTCACCACCCCAACCCACACCGCCCCAACCCACACCACCAAACTCACCCCCCAACCTCACCCCCAACCCTCACCACCCCAACCCACACCGCCAAACTCACCCCCCCAACCCTCATACCCCAACCCACACCACCCAACCCACACCGCCAAACTCACCCCCTAACCCTCATACCCCAACCCTCACCACCCCAACCCACACCGCCCAAACTCACCCCCTAACCCTCATACCCCAACCCTCACACCCCAACCCACACCACCCCAACCCACACCGCCAAACTCACCCCCCCAACCTCACCCCCCAAGTTACTTAATGGTAGAAAAGAATAGACTGGGGTTGTAATTAACCTCCAAGCTAATTTTGGAATAAAAGGATGACTTAGCTGAGGCCAGGGCTGAGAGCAGGTCTTGGTCCAGTCCTGACAGATCTGACAGTGAACGCATCAAGGTTTGCGCAAAGTGCATTCAGCAGAGCCCACACCTCAACCCTACGCCCCAACTCCACACTCCAAATCCCAACCTAACCCCATACCCCCAACCTCACACCCCCAATCCACACCATCAACCCCATACCCAAAAGCGACAATTCCAACCCCACACCTTCCAATCCCACACCTTCCCACCCCAGAACTTCGAACCCCAACCCTATCCCAAACTACCCCCTCCAAACCCATACCTTTGAACCCTACACCTTCGAACCCCACACAGCTTCCAACCCCACACTTTCCCACCCCACACCTTCCCACCCCAGAACTTCGAACCCTACACCTTCGAACCCTACACCTTCGAACCCCACACAGCTTCCAACCCCACACTTTCCCACCCCACACCTTCCCACCCCACACCTTCCAACCCCACACCTTCCCACCCCACACCTTCCAACCCCACACCTTCCAACCCCACACCTTCCAACCCCACATTTCCAACCCCACACTTCCAACCCCATACCCGAACCCCACAACCTCCAACCCACACCCGAATCCTCATACACCCTCAAACCCATACACCCTCAAACCCACATACCCCAATCCCATGCACCCGATCCCCATATACACTGCAACACCACACATCCAACTGCACATCCCCAACCCCACATGCAAACCCCACACGACCCAAACTCACATCCCGATCCTCACCCACCCGCCCATAATCCCACCCCCACTAACCCCAACCCTATCCCAAACTACCCCCTCCAAACCCACACCCCAACCCCACCCCCTCCAAACCCACACCCTCCAACCCCACACCCTCCAACCCAACCCCCTCCAACCCCACACCCTCCAACTCCACACCCTCCAACTCCACATCCTCCAACCCCACAGACCCCAACTACACATCCGAACTTCACACCCCCAACGACATACCCGAACTCTACATCCCACATTTTGTCAAAAACCCGGCTGATCTTAGTGACATTTTTCTATAATCTAAGTGTTGGTACCTCTCTTCTCTTGGTGGTCCTTCACTAAATCACTAATCTTTGCCTTTGTTGATAGTCCGATACAGAGTATTGATGTTTGATCGGTCGATCAGCCTCTATCCAAACAATCTGACAGTCATGATGCAGGTAAATACCATGCAAATCACAAGATTGTTTCAGTGTATGAAAGCCCTTCGTTCATTTTCCACCACACTTCTCACTCTCTGTCTTTCTTGCTCGATCTCTCATTGCTTCTTCTTCTCTTGCCCTTTTCGACCTTCAGCTGTCCTTCAAACCCCACAGTCGTTCCGTGACCTATTGCACCTTTCCCCACCTCCGCAACATTTCCTGCCTCTGCCATTGCCTCTCACCGCAGGCCGCCGATATCCTGATCTACACTTTCACCACATCCCGGCTTGACTACGACAACTGCTTGCTCGCTGGACTTCCCAACTCATCCGTCCACAAGCTGCAGATTATTAAGAACTCTGCCATTTTCTCTGCAATGAGCTCTCTTCCCCTCCTGAGCCCAACTCCCAGCGTGGATACAAAAAAATCCGACTGCCCAGAGCCCTGAGATGTCTTTCCGGAGGAAGGAAATGCCACTTGACAAGTGTAAATTTGTTGATGTTCTCCCTGTTGCTCTCTTTGCCTCTCTTTTGCTCCATTCTCTAACTTTCTCACTCTTTTTCTCTCTTTTTCCTCACTCTCTCTCTTTCTCTCGCAACTGTCTCTCACTTATAACAAAAACTTGCACTTATATAGCGCCTTCCACGCACAGTGATGGATTTCCGTGTCTGTCAGACACCAAATCACTAAAACGTCTGATTTTGCAGGATTCGGAAGGGAAAGTTGTGGACATCACGAACTGCGGGTTTGTGGCAACGTGTTACGGTTCGTTCACCATCCCTCCTGACGCAGTGTGAGTGAGCCTTTGTGTTAAAATTGCCTTCACGAGCGCCTTTCACGACAACAAACTGGATTTAGATGGCGTGTTTCACATTAGGATGATGTGCTAAACACTCAAAGGAACAATGTCTCAAACACGTCACTGCTGACTAACAGATTGAGCTGGAAGGGAGGGGGCGAAGTAGAGGGGCTCCGAGTCCCATCAGGGTGGAAGAGGGCAAAGTAGAGAGACTCCAGAAGGGATGGAGTGAGATAGAGTGACTCCAGGAGGGAGGGAGGGAGTTTGAGGCACCCGCAATTGAGCTCCAAAGAATTGAAAACAGAGCAGATCGCTGGGCTAGTGATGGTGGTGCAGGCAGAGCAAGGATGACCACTGAGTGGAGGGAGTGAGTGGATCTGTAGGGTTTTAGAAGATCACCCAGGTCAGGCTGGGGGAATGGGGACAGACTGTGGATGTCACTTAAAGGTGAGGACGAGGATCTTGAGGATCAATCCACTGGGAGATGGGGAGTCAGTGTAGCAAGGCGATGGGGGTGATGCGCTCATGGCGCCTGGTGTGGAAGAGAGAGAGAGAGAGAGAGAGATGGGTTGAGAGTTCTGTGCTTGTTCCGTCCCTTGTGACACAGGAATTGACTACAACACCGTTTCTAATGCACAGGGTGGGCCAATGGAAGTTATTCGCTACTGTCAGCAACGAACTCACGCAGACCTACTCAGAAAAATTTCAAGTCCTGCACGTTGGTACGTTGTTCTTTTTATTAAAAAAAAAGTTACAATAATCTTGTGGAATCCCATACATAGCGTATTGATTAATCCGCTCACTTCACAAGCGAGTGGACCCGGGTTTGATTCCCAGGCGGCGCGAAACCTTAGGCAAGTTTCCTTCTCCACAAGATTCTGTTAAATAAGAACCCCGTTGTTAGTTGATTGGCGGATCACTTTCCGGGAGCAATAAAACCTTCATAAAAAATTGGTACCGACCGAGCCAGACTGTCACATTGCTGTTTGCGGGGAGGGATGGCCCTGTGTGAAAATCAACTGCTGCAATTATCAACAAAACAAATCCAGTCACTACACTTTACAGAGAATCCCATGAGGCGCTTTTTATGATGTGAAAAATCCCATATCTAATGCAAAAACGTAATTATTGTTATGCTATTGCACTTTAAGTCACTCCGTTGAGGCAGTTTTTAAGAGGTTTTCAGCGATGGGTCAGGCAGATCAATAACCCTGCTTCGTTATATATGGATGGATGTTACTTTTCTTAATACGTTTGAACTTCCTAAAATAGCCACTTTTATAGGAGGTTAATATTTTGTTCACCAGGTATTTGCAGAGCTGTTTTTGAATAGTCTTACTAACAGTTCCAGTTGAACCAACGATGATAGGAACTGTGTTTGTTTTATTCTGCCACAAATGTCCGCATTAAATTTCTAGATGGATATGTTTCCTGATCTTCGCTACTTCCTTACTTTGTGCATTGCAATCACTTGGGAAAATTACATTAATAATACTTAGCTATTTTGTGATGATGTCTGGTCTATGGCAGATTACTGTCCGAGGTGCATGTACTTGTGAACCCCATATTATTCTGATGTGATTTTTTGATGCCACTTTTGCTGGTTGATGTTCATGCAGTTAGTCTTCACATCAATATCAAACTGTTTCCCAATTGTTTAATCACAAATAATCATTATGTTATTATATTTATTTTTTGCAGATCACCACAGACTGGATGTGAAGATTATCTCAGATGAGGGATATTGGCTTGTGAATAAGGAATCATTTCCATTTACAGTCTTGGTGGAGTGAGTAATGCATGCGAGCTGATCAGCGGCAAATGAAGTTTAATACAGATATTAAAGTTAATTTCCTATTCTTACTTCCTATTCACAAGAATAGGAAGCAAGTACTCCATGGATGGGATGGAATGTGCCAACGGGGAACCTGAAAGAGATCTTGGGGTGTTAGTTGACCTGTTGCTGACTGTGTGGCAGCAATAAACAAGGCAACCAGGACGCGGAGCTGTGTTGCTAAACAGTTGAGTTAAGATCCTCAGATGTCATACAGTGCTCGAGTCAGACCGCACCCGGAATATTGCAACCAGTTCTCCACACAGATAGATGGCCAAGAAGGTGGACTCAATCACACAATCCACTGTCAGGGACATGACCATGGAGCCAGCTCAGCTCCGAGGATACTGCAAGAGATTCGAATGGAGACGATCAAATCCTTCATTAAGTAACACAAATAGCTTAACTTATTCTTAAAACTGAGATCATAGAAACAGTACAATCGATATGGATTCCACTGGGTGCTGACCCTCTACACAATTCCAGTTATTTCATGTTACATCATGCTTTTATGTGTTTCCAACTCCACTTCCCCTTTTCGCAGAAATAGTCCCCATCCTTCGCATGGGAAAATAACAGAGAAGGAGAAAGAGATATAGACAGCTAATTGGGAGGATTCCTGTTTCTTAGTCTTGAGCTGATCAGATGTCCAGGAGTGCGTTTCTTTCTCTCTCTCTCTTTGAGCCTCCTAGTTTTCACATCCGTGCTCAAGGAAATGATTACTCAATTCATAGATGGGAGGATGACAATGGGTCCCAGGCACCGAGCGACAGAAAGTTATCAGAACCTGACCTCAACTGGGATCAAGCCAATATATCTTAGCCTTTGCTGGCATTAATTGGCACGCGTACCCTCTCAGGGACCCTCAGAGAGTCGTACAGCCTTGTCCATGGCCTAATAGCTAAGGAATGGTATACTAAACAGAAGTGTTTGGTTGTGTTTTAAAAGTACGCTAATTAAAATCTTAGAAACAGTAAGCATCACAAATATGATCTTACAATATCCTGCTCCCCTCCATGAGACCCCACCCTACCCAGGATTCGCCCCCCACCCCCCCCCTCCCCCCGAAGGAAGGAATGTTAATGTTGTTATTATCTATCAGGAGCCCCACAAAGCAGCCTTTCGAGGGTGATCTTACAATGTACTTCACAGTGATGGATACCAACGGCAAAAAACACAGCCTACCGGATCTCAACCGCGTGGAGAAGGTAAAAGGACTTATTAGTAATATTAGTGGTAATAATCCTTGCATTTAGCACAGTGAGTGAGATTAATTTGGGGAGGATGCCTCAACGCACCTTGCAGATTTCACTGTGTGTTTTGTGGACAAATGTGGCAGCCGATTTGCGCCCAGTAACTTCCCGACAAACAGCCGGGAAATGGATGAGCAATTTTAGAGTTGTTGGCCAGGACGTTTTATAGTCATCATAATAATATTACTATTATAATAATCCGTTCATTTAATTAGACTGTAATCCTAATAATAATCCTTGTCTTTGATACAGCGCCTATTATGTCTTCTAGACATCTCAAAGCACTTACACAGAATATGTAATGTGAATTGACTATGTTTTGTGGGCAAAACGCGGCAGCCAACTGCGCACAGCAGCCCACAAACAGTTATGAATTAAGTGTCCAAATTATTGTCATTTTTTTTTGAACAGATTAGCACCCTCTGAAAAGCAATGCGCCAATCGACTAACCACTGGGTTCCTACTTATTGTTGTGTAAACAGAGGTGTGTGGAGTAAGAAACTTGCCCAATATTTTGCCCTGGCAGGAATCGAAACCAGGTCCACTTGCTCGCGAGGCTAGTGCTCTAATCACTAAGCTAGAGGACTCCACTGTATTAATAGTTAATAGTATAATAGTTATAATAATATGTATAATAATACAGTAAACTAATAGATATACCCTGTCTTAACTTAATTAATATTAATTAATACTATTTATAATTATTCATGTTGTTAATTAGGTAATGCAACTAAATAGTAATAATTGTTTTTTTAATGAATAATACTTAAGCGTTAGTCTGATTTATTTGTCGCATTCTCATCTCTGAGTCGGACGGTTGTGGTTTCAAGCCCCCGTCTGGACTTGGAATCACATTGTTTAAAACGCCACTCCAATGCAGTGTTGCAGTGTTGCATTGTCGGAGGTGCTGTCCCCATAATAATAATAATAATAATCCTTATATAATAATAATAATCCTTGCATTTGATATAGCGCTTTTCACGTCGGGAGGACGTCCCAAAGCGCTTCACAGAACACACTGTAAAGTGAATTGACTGTATATTTGTGGGCGAACGCGGCAGCCAATTGCGCACAGCAATGTCCCACAAACAGTCGTGGATTGAAAATGACCAATTTATTATTGTTTTTGGTTTTGGAGGGATTATTTATTAGGCTCTGTGTGGAGTAAGGAAACTTGCCCAAGGTTTCGCCCTCTGCCTGGAATTGAACTCAGGTCTCTCGCTTGCAAAGCGAATGCTCCAACCACTGAGCTACAGGACTCCATCTACCTGTTCAGGTGGATATTAAAGATCCCATGCGACTACTTGAAAAGAGAAAGAGGCTTCTCTCTCTTCTGGTGTCCTGGCCCAACACCACCCAAATAAAATTGGTCACCCACTCCATGGCTGTAGGACATCCTCATATAATCAAATTAATATTACTATTAATTATATAAATAATTATCATTCATAGAATATCACTTTATATTAATAATTAATGATAATCCTTTAATGTATTAACGATACTGTATTTTGATAGAATAATATAATGCGGGAGCCAATTGGCACACAGCAACCATGTGTGAAGTGACAAAGTGATTTAATCTGTCGGCCAGTACACCAGGAGACAATCTCCCTCCCTCCGCCCAACGTCTCCACAATGTGGTGCTCCCTTCCCCCCAGAATTGCACTGAGGTGGCGTCAGTCTGGACTATGAGCTCAGAATCCCCTACGTGGGCTTGAACCCACAACAACAACAACACCAAGATTATATTTGTACAGTGTCTTTCACATCGGGATGACTTCCCAAGGCGCTGGACCGAGTACAGCATTTCAGACCAGAGAAGGATCTTGAGGCGGGATTTGAAGGAGGCTAAGGAGGGGGTGAGGCGGAGTGACTGGGGAATGGAATTCCAGAGGTTGGGGGCAGAGTGGCTGAAGGCTCTGCTGCCAATGGTGGGGCGGGTGTGTCAGGGGACATGGAGCGGGCCAGAGCCGGCTCAGCAGAGGGAATGGGCGGGTTGGCAAGGGTTTAGGAGGTCGCAGAGGTAGGGTGGGGTGAGGCCATGGAGGGCTTTGTATGTGAGGTCCAGGATTTTGAACTGGATCCTCTGAAGGATACTGGAGTGGGCGAGAGTGGGGGAGATGGAAACACGGAGTTTGGTGCGGGAGAGGACATGGACTGCAGAGTTCTGGATTATCTGCAGCCTGTGGAGGGAGGAGTTGGGAAGGCCGACAAGCGGGGAGTTTGCATAGTTGAGCCTGGAGGTGATGAGGGCATAAACGAGAGTTTCAGCGCCTGAGGGGTGAGGTAGTGGCGGAGTCGGGCAATGTTACGGAGGTGAGGGAAGGCAGAGCGGGTCATGGCTTGAATGTGGGGGAGAAAAGACAGTTGAGGGTTGAACAAGACACCCGGGTTCCTGACTGACTTGGTGAGTTGAAGTGTGCAACCATGGAGGTTGATGCTGCCAGAACCTGAGGTGCTGAGGCACTGGCGTGAGCCGATCGGGAGGGCCTCAGTCTTGTTCACATTCAACTGTAGGAAATTTGCCCTCATCCAGGACTTGATGTCCAACTGCAGTCTGTCAGGACAGCAGTGGTCCTGGAGTTGAGGGTGGAGGCAGAAAGATAGAGTTGGGTGTCATCCGCATACATGTGGGAGTTGACCCCATGTCTGCGGATGATGTCACCAAGGGGGAGCATGTAGATATTAAAGAGGAGAGGGCCAAGGACAGAGCCCTGGGGGACGCCAGATGTGACAGTGCGGGGGCTGGAGGAGAAACCGTTAAGAGTTTAAACAAGTTAGAAACAACTTGCTGACTCAGAAGCGAGAGTGTGAGTGACTGGACCAGGTTGAAAACTGTAATTGTGAATCACTCAGAGTTGCGAGGGACAGTGTTTAATCATTGTTAGATACTGAATCGTTGTGTTCAACACTGCAGGTTAAAGATGGCAGATTGTCTGCTGAGTTAAAGATGCACCAACTGTCGACCAATATGAAGAAAATTGGGAGTTTGGACCAATTTAAAGACGGTTATCTGTACATCGCTGTAAAAACCTGGGGGGCTGAGGGTAAGTTAACTGAACTGCATTGGGTGTGCAATTTGCGGAGCAGTGTACGTGACAGTGTGTGAGACAAGGCTGGTGCTCACTACCTCACTGAGTAGCAGCACAGGTACGACGGGGAGAGAGCAGAGAATGGGATTAGAGTAGAGAGCTCCAGGGGGGGGGAGCAAACACGAGCACACACACGATGGGGAAAGGGCAGGGAATGGGAGTAGAGTAGAAGATAGCTTCAATGGGGAGCGAGCACTAGCAAAAACATGACGGGGAGATAGCAGGGAATGGGTTTAGAGTAGAGAGCTCCTGCATTCCGTTTGGGTTTCTATCTGTGGGGATGTTGAGGGAGAGGGAGGTGAGTGTCTGTACCACCTTCTCTCTTCTTTGTGTGTCCGCCTGGCTCAGTTGGTCACACACTTGCCTCTGAGTCAGAAATATTTGGGTTGAACCCCCCCTCCACCCCACCTCCCCACACATATTGTTTTGTCTGACACTAATTGGGGTATAGAGTGGAGAGCTCCAGTGGAGAGCGAGCGCAGCAGAGACATGACGGGGAGAGAGCAGGGATTGAGGTTGGAGTAAAGAGCTCCAGTGGGGTTCGAGCGTCAACACAGACATGATGGAGAGATAATTATTATTATTATTATTAGGTTATTATAATTACCGTGTGTCAACCCGTCTCAGTTGGTCGCACTTTTGCCACCGAGTCATAATCATCATCTAACCAATGCGGCAGTGCTGGAGGTGCCATCCTTCAGTTGAGAAGTTAAACACCGAAGCTCCATCAACATCACATTGTTCAGTTACACATTAAAGATCCTTTGGCACTGTGTGAAAAGAGAAGGGAGTGTTTCTCTCGCGGTGTCCTGACTAACAATTCCCACTCTCCCCCCCCACCACCAACAAAATCGGTCACTCACTCCATGGCTGTATGTGCGTAAATTGACTGCCGCATTCACCTACAAAACAAACACAGCCACCGCACTCTACAGTAAACCCATGAAGCCCTTTGGGGCATCCTCTCCATGTCAAAGGTGCTGTGCCAGATGTAAGGATGATTTGATCACTGTTGTCATTCTCTGGTGTTGACCTGTAGGTATTGTCACTGGCTCAGGGGAAATTCGAGTGCCTTTTGTCCGTTCGCCGTACGCCGTGAGACACTCAAAGAGCAAACAGTACTTCACACCGGGAGCTAGTTGCAGTGTGCAGGTACATCATGTTTTTTTTTTGTGTGTGTGTGTGCGCGCGCGTGCTATGTGCCGTGTCTCAGACTGTCTCAGGGTAGCCCTCTGGCCTTTGAGTCTGAAAGTTGCGGATTCAAACTCCCACTTTGGGACTTGGAATCACTTAGTCTAAGATGACACATATTGCAATGCTGAGGATGTGTTGCATTGTTGAAGTGCCGTCCTTCAGATGAGACTTTAAACCATTTGATCAGATGGATATTGAAGATCCTGCAGAATGGAGTTCCCAGGGCCCCAGTCAATACATCCCACAAATAAAATTGATCATTTGCTTCACGGCTGTTTATGGGGCATTGCTGTGTGCACTCCTAAGCACACAGTCACTACACTTTACAGTAAAATCATATGAAGTGATTTGCGATGTCCTTCCAACATGGAAGGTGCTCTACCAAACTCAACAATTATTTTTTATGGATGTGCATCAGAATGCGTGTGCGTGTCTTTCTGGGTGAGTGTCTGTGTGCACATTGGTACATCTGTGTGTGGGTGAGGACAAGTGTGTGCAAGAAGTATAACTAACTAACTAACAGTTCTGGGCACCGCACTTTAGGAAAGATGTTAGGGCATTGGAGAGGGTGCAAAGGAGGTTTACCAGGATGGTAGCAGGAATGAAGGACTTTAGTACTGAGGAGAGGTTAGCGAAACCAGGATTATTCTCCCTAGAGCAGAGAAGATTAAGAGCGGATTTAATAGAGGTTTTCAAGATCATGCGAGGATTTGATCGGTTGAACCGGGAAGAACTGTTTCCACTGGCGTGTGGGTCAGTAACCCGAGGACACCAATTTAAGATAGTTGTTAAAAGAAACAGAGGGGAGGTTAAGAAAAGAAATTTCACCCAGCGAGTTGTTCGGATCTGGAAGCTGATTCAGTAACAACGTTTAAGAGAGAAGTAGATGAGTATTTGGGGAGGACAAGATTGCAGGATTCTATGGAAAGAAAGCGGTCCAGTGGGATTGAGTTAGATTGCTCTTTTAGGAGCTGGCGCAGATTTGATGGGCCGAAGGGCCTCATTCTGTGTTGTATGATTCTATAACCTACTCTGTATCAAGAATTCCAATTAAATCTCTTAAATAATTAGTTCCAAAGTAGGTTTTGGTTGGCTCAATGCCTGGCTCAATCTCTTGCACTCTGCCCTCCGAGACAGGTTGTGGGTCCGAGTCTCACACATCAGGGAATCTGAGCTCACAGTCCAGGCTGATGCCCGAGCACAGCGCTGCGGAGAGAGAGAGAGAGAGAGAGAGAGATGAATTGTCAGAGATGCCGTCCGTTGGTTGAGACATTAACTCTCACTCAGAGTCTGTGCCCTGTTCAGGCGTAAAGATCGCGTGGTGCTATCAGTGTTTCTCTTCTGGTGACTGATAACATCACTCCCTTGCTTCACGACCATTTACGGGGACGTAGGTGTGTGCAAATAGCTGCTGTGTTGGCCCGCAAAACATACAGTCACTACACTTTACAGTAGCGTCCTGTGAAGTGCTGGACTACGTCTTATCGAGGAGAATGGTGCTGTGTAGAATAAGAGGGTTCTTCCTGTTCTCTATATTGACGAGCTATTGGGGTGTGTGACAGACATCACTCGTCTATCCCAATGGCACTTTGGCTCTTGGGACCCCTGTGACAGTGTCAGTAACTATCTCCGGAGAAGAAGTGACACAAGGAACGAGCGGGACAGAGAGTGACAGAAATGGAGATGTCAACTTTGACTTTGATGTCCCCAACGACGCTAAGAACATTACAATAATGGTATGAATTTTGTCCATCTGTAATCAGGGCTCCCTCTGCCTCCTCATCCTCTTTGACCTTTCTGCTGCCTTCGATTACCGTAGACCACTCTATCCTCCACCACCGGCTCTCCTCTCACCTGAAGCTTCATGTTTCTGTCCTTGAGTGGTTCAGATCCTACCCCTCACACTGTCTCCACTTCATTTCCAAAAACGACTTCTCCTCTTGCCCCCGCACCATCAACTGTCCTTTCGACCCCACGTCCATGCCATACCCCGCTCTGCCTTTCCCCAATTCCACAAAATCACACTGTTCCACCACTACCTCACCCCTCAGGCCGCTCACACCCTCATCCATGCATTCATCACATCTAGGCCTGACTACACAAACTCCCTGCTCGTCAACCTTCCCAAATCTTCCCTCCACAAGCTGCAGGTCATCTAGAACTCTGCAGCTTGTGTCCTCTCCTACACCGGGCTCCGTGACCCCATCACCACCACCCTCACCTGGTTTCACTGGCTCCCCATCCCCCAAAGCATAGAGTTCAAAATCCTCATCCTCACCTTCAAGGCTCTCCATGGCCTTACTTCTTCCTGCTTCTGCGACCTGCTGACCCCATATCAACCTGTCTCTTCCCTCTGACCAGCAGGCTGTGGCCTGCTCCATGTCCCCTGCCCGACCTGCCACACTATCGGTGGCCGGGCCTTCAGCCTTTTTTCCCCACACCCTTTGGAAATCCATCCCACATTCCCTTCGCTTGCTTCTTTCAACGCAAGTCTCAAAATCCTCCTCTCTGCCCTCCACCCTTCCGAATCCCTGACTGTCCAGCTTTGGATGTCTTGCCGACATGGAAGACGCTATCCAAATATAACTTTGAATTGTATTTTACAACCGTATACTTTCCCATTGAGAGCAAGGTCTGACAAGCTTTCCCATTGCTCGTCCAGTTCGGACCAGCGACCCTTCAAGGCTTTGGTCGCAGAGTTAACAGGAGCCAATTGACAAGAGTAAATGGATTACCTTCACTCCTGAAGTACTGGGGAATCACGCTCTGGGGCAAGAGAGAGATAGGGAGGGACTGTGAGAATGAGACAGAAGCAGAAAAAGTCAGGGATAATGTGTGTACAACATCAACAAGAAGATTGCATTTGTAAAGTGCCTTTCACGTCAGGAGGACGTCCCAAGGCACTGGACAGAGTACAGCATTTAAGATCCGAGCTGGGGTTGGGGTGTAAGAGAGGGGAGGCGAAGTGGGGTGGCCGATGGCATGGTCGAAGAGGAGGGTCTTGAGGCGAGACTTGAAGGAGGCTGAGGAGGTGTCGAGGCCGAGTGACTGGGGGATGGAATTCCAGGGTTGGGGGCAGAGTGGCTGAAGTCTCTCCTGCTAATGATGGGGCAGGTGGTCAGGAGATATGGAACAGGCCAGAGCCGGCTGAGCGGAGGGGACAGGCGGGTTGGTAGTGGGTTAGGAGGTCACAGAGGTAGGGGTGGGGTGAGACCATGGAGGGCTTTGTATGTGAGGACCAGGATCTTGAACTGGATCCTCTGAAGGAAGTTGACCTCATGTCTGCGGATGATGTCACCAAAGGGAGCATGTAGATACTAAAGAGGAGAGGGCCAAGGACAGAGTCCTGGGGGATGCCGGATGTGACAGTGCGGGGGCTGGAGGAGAAACCGTTAGAGGCAACAAAGTGGAGTCCAGAATGGAGGAGAGGGAGCTGTGGAAAAAGGAGAGTGAGGAGGGGAGATCGGTCGGTGAGGGCCAGAGGTGTAGTTTAGATGACACGAGGGCAGCGGAGAGGGAGAGGGAGGATTTTTTTTTTCCATGGATGGTGTGTAATGGTGGAGGGTTGGGAAGGGGTACTGAGGTGTTGAGGGAGATTAAGTGGTGGTTCGAGATGGCTTTATCGATGATGGTGATGTTCGAGACAGTGAGGCCCCGGGTGATCACTAGGCCGAGGGGGGGTGGGGGAGTGGATGAGGAGGGAGAGGTTGAGGGAAGAGAGGAGGGAGGAGAAGTCGGCAGAGATAGAGCAGGAGGGGATGAAGTGGAGGTTGAAGTCGCCTAAGATAAGAAGGCGTTCAGAGCAGAGGTGGAGGGAAGACAGGAGGGTGGAGATGTCTGAGAGGAATGTGGGGGAAGGCTTGGGGGGGGACGGTAAACAAGGAGAATTTTGAAGGAAAGCCTGGAGGGGTGGTAGAGGGTAAGGTGTTCAAAGGAGAGGAAGATTCCGGAGGAGTAAGGGGAAAGGCCGAGGGGAATCGGGAGATGAGAGCCACACCACCGCCACATCGATTAGGCCATGGGGTTTGGTGAAAGGTGTAACCTGGAGGTGTGGTCTCAACTAGTGGGAAGGTGTTGCCTGGGGTGACTCAGGTTTCGGTGAGGACGAGGATGTCGATATTTTCCTCGACAATGAGGTCATGAATTGTGAGGGACTTGTTGGTTAATGAGCGCACGTTCTGCAGACCAATGCGAAGGGGACAGTCAGTGATGGGAGTGTGGGGGGAAAGGTTGGCTCCCGTGAGCGAGGGCCGGTGGGCGTTGCGGCAAGAGTGGGGGGGGGGGGGAAGGGGCAGTCAGGGTGTGTGCTGTAGGACAGCCGACGGCATCTACCACGATGGGCACGACGGAGAGAGAGAGAGAGCGCTGGAGAGACGAGAGGCAGAGAAAAGAGCTCAAGAGAGACACGTGGAGAAAGAGAGCAGCAGCGGGAGTGATAACATCACATTCAAAAAATTACATTTCTATAGCGTCTGTCGCATCGGGAGGACATCCCAAAGCACTTTTGGAGAGACAGATATGGCCACGGAGGATTGGACTCCATTCTCACATTTCGTTGCCTGAAACATCATCTCGTAACCAGTTCAGCCCATTAGGAGAATCTCCTCAACTGCCCCCCCCCCCCCCACCCGCACTGAGCTTCCATTACTCCACCACCACCACACCACCTGCCCCCGTAAACTCTCCCTCCCCAAGACCCCGCTGACTCCTCCCGGTTGCCCCCTCGCTCTCGCCGCTGCTTACCCCATATACGCTGCCCCCAACCCCCCACACACCAAGAAGACACCATTCACATCAGCTCCGAGCCGTCCTCTCCACTGTATTAAATGGAAGGCTTGCTGTGTTGTTATTTTTGATGGATTGATTGACAGATGAAGGCTGGGGATAAACTGAGGGGGCAAGTGCAAACCAGAGAGGTGTGGACCATAGAGAAGAAGGACAACTCAATGAATGGGAACTATCTACACGTCAGTGTCCCTCACGTTAGGATTTACCCTGGAGACTCCCTGGTGGTGACTCTCGCAATGATCAGCCAAGTTCCCAGGAATGAGACTTACACGTTCTCTATCATGGTTAGTACAAAAAGATTCTAGCCCGGCTCGGCAAAGCTCAGTGTGTGTCAGCCCGGCTCTGTGTTTGTCAGCCCAGGTCAGTGTTTGTGTGTGTGTGTGTGTGTGTGTGTGTTAGCTTGGCTCAGCGTGTGTGTCAGTCCAGTTCTGCGTGTGTCAGCCCGGCTCGGCGTGTGTCAGCCCGGCTCGGCGTGTGTCAGCCCGGCTCGGCGTGTGTCAGCCCGGCTCGGCGTGTGTCAGCCCGGCTCGGGTGTGTCAGCCCGGCTCGGCGTGGGGGGGTGGGGGGGTGGGGGGGGGGGGGTGGGGGCGTGGGGGCGGGGGGGGGGGCGGGCGTGCGTCAGCCCGGCTCGGCGTGCGTCAGCCCGGCTCGGCGTGGGTCAGCCCGGCTCGGCGTGCGTCAGCCCGGCTCGGCGTGCGTCAGCCCGGCTCGGCGTGGGTCAGCCCGGCTCGGCGTGCGTCAGCCCGGCTCGGCGTGTGTCAGCCCGGCTCGGCGTGTGTCAGCCCGGCTCGGCACCTACAGTTCAGGCATTTGCTGTCTGACCTCCGAGTCAGGGGGTTGTGCATCAGAGACTCTGAGCTCACAATCCAGCCATATTGTTGGGGAGGTCCTCCTTCAGATGAGGCCCAAATCCATCTGTTGGAGGAGGAAGAGAAGGGAGTTTCTCTTCCGGTGCACTGCCAACAGGAAAACTTACTTGTTTGCTTCAGAGCTGTTTGAGGGGGCGTCACTGTGCACAAATGGGCTGCAGCGATCACCCATAAAACACAGTCACTACACTTCACAGTTGAATCACGTGAAGTGCATTGAAACATCCTCCCAATCTGAAAGGGGCCTTTTCGAACGCAAGGGTGATTAATTTTTCTTCTAACCAGGTTCTTAGCAGAGGGAAATTACTGCTATTTGAGAACGTTAATGGGGAATCGGAGACCAAGTTCCAAATCCATGTCACTCAGGAAATGGTCCCGGCACTCACCATCATCGCCTACTGCTTTACGCAGCAGGAGGGCCGGAGAGAGATCATGGCTGATTATGTGCACGTGGATGTGATGAGCTTCTGTCGGGAAGAGGTGAAGCCTAAATAATACAATAAATCGCGATTACACAGCGTCATCCTGTAGGCTAATGTCTGGTGGTGCTGAGATTGAGGAGGGGTTTAGACACTAAGAGGGTTGAGACGGAGGAGTAGAGACTGATCGAGATGGGTGGAACAGAAAGGGAAAGACTGCTAGAGAAAGGACGAGATGGAGGAGTAGACATATATAGAGAGGGGGTGAGACGGAGAGGAAAAGACTGGTCGAAAGCGGATGAAACGGAGGGGTGAAGACTGAGAGAGGGGGGGGACGAGATGGAGGGAGAGACTGATAAAGAGGGGGGTGAGACAGATGAGCAGAGACTGATAGAAGGGGTGAGTGTCAGAGGGGCAGAAACTAATTGGGTTAAAACAGGATGTGTCCCTTGAGAGAGAGAGTGCGCGTTCCATCAAAGATATGGGAGATTTCTATGAATATCAAAGGTGACATACTTTGCAACTTGCATTTGTATAGCTCCATTCACGTAGTGTCGTATCCCAGAGCGCTTCACAGTGGCAGAGTTTGATCCAGACCCGGGGAAGAGGGAGGATCAAAAAGGAAGGTCTTTAGGAGGGATTTGAAAATGGGGAAGAGGTGAGGGACATTGGGGCGACCTCTCTGGTTCTGAGATTCTTAAAAACGGTGATGGGTTTCTGTGTGTTTCCGTCACATACAAATGCCAAAGGTCGGTTCTCACATAATCATGTTTCATTTTCAGTTTAAAATTGACCCAGTGTTAAGTGAGGAGGCTATACATCTGTCAGTGTCCACCAAGAGGAACACTGAGGTCTATGTGCAGGCTGTGGATCCAAGGGACTCCGAGGAAACATCCAGGTTTGGTGAAATAACTGACCAGGTATCAGATTATTTCAGAACTTTCTACTCTAATGCTAATTCCTGCTACCACCCAATTGTATCTCCGCTGATGATCACTCCCCACTGGAGCTTTCTCCTGTAATGCTATTTCCTGCTATCACCATCGTGTCTGTGCTGCTGCACACTTTCCCAACCTGGACCTCTCTCCTATGGTTCCACTCTCTGCTCTCTCCGCATGGTTTCTGTGCTGGTGCTCGCTCCACACTGGAGCTCTCTACTCTAATCCCATTTCCTGCTCTCTCTCTCTCCCTATCGTGTCTGTGCTGGTGCTCACTCCCCCTACTGGAACTCTCCACTCTAACCCCATTCCCTACTAGCTCCCCATCACGCATCTGATGGTGCTCACTCCCCGTTGGAGCTCTCTGCTCCATTCCCATTCCCTCCTGGTCATTTGCTGGTACCTCGCCAGCTTGGCTCACTGGCAGAACTTGGAATCGGAGGTAATCTTGTGATGTGGCTTGGCAATTGGTTGGGAAGCAAGAAATAGAGAGTCGGCTACGTGGAATATTCCTTAATTGACAAGGTGTGACAAGTGCTGTTTCCCAGAGGTCTGGTCTGGGGACTCAGCTTTTATGTATGTATAAATGACTTGATGAAGGAATAGCATTTCATTTACAAATTTGCAGATGACACAACGAGGATCAAAACTCTGGTTGCTGGATCCAGTCCAGGGGATTGAAGTGGGGCAAGTGGTGCAAGTTTCAATGAGAGAGCATCCGGATGACAGCGATCGATCAAAATCATTAGATTTAGAGGTAGTTAGGAAAGGAAGGAAGAACAATCAAAGGTGGAGACGCACATCTGGAAGAGGCTCATTTCAATGAAGTGAAAAGGGATCTGGCCCAGGTGGATTAGAAACAAACATTGTTTGTGGGACACTGCTATATGCAATTAGTTGCTGGGTTTCGCCCACAAAAATGCACAGTAACTGTAACTGCAGTGTATCCTGTGAAGCGCTTTGAGATATCTCGAAGACTTAAGGCACGAGATCAAACGAAATGATATATATACATTGCAATTTGCAAGGCTGAGGTGGATAGATTTGTGTTAGGTAAGGATATCAAAGGACATGGGGCAAAGGCAGTTGGGTCATTTGGCGTTGAGGTACAGATCTGAGTGTTCATTCCATTGCTACAGTTTATCGCTGGAATTTTCACGTGTAGGTTGGATGCGTGGAATTCTCGGTTCGGTTTGGATAATCATAAACAGAGTGAACGGTTTCCGCATGTAATAATAATAATAATAATCCTTGCATTTGATATAGCGCTTTTCACGTCGGGAGGACGTCCCAAAGCGCTTCACAGAACACACTGTAAAGTGAATTGACTGTATATTTGTGGGCGAACGCGGCAGCCAATTGCGCACAGCGATGTCCCACAAACAGTCGTAGATTGAAAATGACCAATTTATTATTGTTTTTGGTTTTGGAGGGATTATTATTAGGCTCTGTGTGGAGTAAGGAAACTTGCCCGAGGTTTCGCCCTCTGCCTGGAATTGAACTCAGGTCTCTCACTTGCAAAGTGAGTGCTCTAACCACTGGGCTACAGGACTCCAAGATGTGTCAGCCACTCAGATACCAACCCCCCCTCCCTCCATCACTCGCTCCCCACTGGAGCTCGCCACTCTAATCCCATTCCCTGCTCTCTCCCCATCGCCTGTGCTGGTGGATCGCTCCCAACTGCAACTCTCTACACCAGTCCCATTCCCTGCTCTCTCCCTATTGTTTCTGTGTTGGTACTCACTGCCCCACTGTAGCTCTCTAATCCCATTCCCTGCTCTCTCTCCCCATCACGTCTATGCCGGTGCTCTCTCCAAACTGCAACTCCCTATTCCAATCCCATTTCCTGCTCTCTCTTTATTGTTTCTGTGCTGGTCCTCGCTATCCCACTGAAGCTTTCTACTCATCCCATTCCATGCTCTTTCCCCATCGTGTCTGTGCTGGTGTTCTGGAGGATGGGATTGGTGGACGACAGGGCTATCTTCCTCCAGATTGATCCTGGGACGTCATTTGCCCTGTCTGTGCTTCCATTAACTTTTGTTGCTGTAATGATCTTCGAGATGTCTACGCAACATAAAAGGTTGGAAGCTTCTGAGTCAGGAGGTTATGGGTTAAAGCCCCATGTTTGAGCTCACAGTTCAGGTAGACGCTCTTGCTCAGTATTCGGGGAATGCTGCATTGTCGGAGACACTATCCTTCAAATGAGAAGTTAAATCTCACTGCTCTCTGTCCTGTTTAAGAGGATGTTAAGGATCTCTGCGGTGCTGTTGCGTGGTAGGTCTGGAAAGAGAGGGTACTTTCTCTCCAGGTGTCTCCTGGTCGACTAGATAAAATCGCTCTCTTGCTTCACAGCTGTTTGCGGGTGGCACAGGATGCCATGTTTTTCCCCAAGCACTGTCCTGTGAAGCACTATGAGACATCCTTCTGACATGACAGATGTTGTCTAATTTAAGATAATAATAATAATAATCTCCACCGCGTGTTTCTGTGCTCAGTTGTCCTGCTAGAGAGAGGGGTAGACAGAGAGCAGACTTGTGTGGAGACTAAACCACCATGGACTGGTTGGCCCAGTGGCCTGTTTCCTCCGACAGACAGAGAGACACAAAGAGATAGACAGAGAGATGATAGACGAATAGAAAGACAGACAGAGAGATAGACAGAGAGAAAAAGACAGAGACAGGCAGAGGGATAGGCAGACAGACACAGGCACAGAGAGTGTGTGAGGATTTTGTTAATGCGTTGTTAATATAAATAAATGGTGGTTGTTTTGCTGTGGCAGATACTGGAATTTTTCCGTTTGACGGAGTCCTCAGCCAGCGGAGGCCCTGACGCAGGGCATGTCTTCCAGGCGGGTGGCCGTCGAGTGGTGTCTGACCTCCTCTCCTCCCCAGTGCTCCTCAGTGAGTCCACCTCACCTCACTGCTTCCAAAATCAAAATCCCCTCAAAATCACCGACTTCCTGGACACCGGTGCATTTAAATATTTAAGATAAAGAAGTGATTAATGTCTTGATCAACACTCTGTCTGCCTGTCTGTCTGCCTGTCTGTCCCTCGCTCTGTGTATCTGTATTGCTCTGTCTGACAATCCCCAAATCCTTGCATTTGATATAGCGTTTTTCAAAGTCTTCTCGACGTCTCGAAGCGCTCCACAGAATAAACCCCAAGGTGAATTGACTGTATATTTGTGGGCAAAAGGTGGCAGTCAATTGCGCACAGCAGCGTCCCACAAACAGTGGTGGTTTGAAGTGACCAATTTATTATCATTTTATTTTCTTGAGGGATTATTATTATCAGGAGTGTGGAGTAAGGTTACTTGCCGAGATTCCACCCTGCTGGGAATCGAACCCAGCTTCCTCGCTTGCAAAGTGAGCGCTCTAACCATTGAGCTGCAGTACCCCCGCCTTCCCCCCTTCCTGTCCTGCTCGTTCCACCATAAGAATTTCAGCCAATCTACACCTGCTCTTTGGAACTCCATCCCTCCAACTCACTCCCATCCTTGCCTTGTTCGAGCTCCGTCTCAAGACCTTCCTTTTTGACCACATTTCAGTCTTCTCGGGTGCCAAGCCAGGACTACACACCACCTTAGGGCATTGCCCCCTACGTGAAAGGCGATATGTAAATGTAAATTTGTATTATCTCTTACTTCAGAAACCAGCTGTTTGTTGAAACCAACTCAGAAAACAGGAAGACCTGTCAAAACACGAGGTAATTACAATAATTAATTTATCTTGCGGATTGTTGGCCAGGACATTCCCTTTTTCTTTTCTCCGACAGGACCTCAAAGTGAGAGGGAGGTGGATAGAGATTTGTGGAGGAATGGGATTTTTTTTGGGGGGGGGTCAACCGAGTGTCTTGACACATGCAGAAACCTGTCACCGTGCTTAAGAGTCTCCAAACCAAACTGAGAATTCCTTGCATCCCACCTAATCATGCAGATTCCAGAAACAGATTGTTGGAAAGGAATGTGCACCCTCTCCCTGGAGGGAGGCCTCCTGCTTGCCCAATTTCGGAAAGTATTAGGTGCAGGTCGACAGGAAACGAGGCTTGGAGACACAGAGTATGTGAGAACTGCGAGAGACTAACCCGCTAAAACCACAAAGCTTTCGGTCGATACCACTGTCTGGCAAGCTTTCCCACTGCTTCTCCAGCTAGGACTTCCCTACCAGTTAGGGTTTGGGCTTGTAGGGTTAACAGGAGCTGAGTGGATGATTCCCTCCTCCCTTTGACTGATTTACCACTCTCAAGTCCTGCCAATAAGTGAGGACTGTCATTAGCAGTGCCCTGGAATACTGAAGACCCTCCTGGCTCAGGACCTCAAGTCTTGGGGAGTGAAGGGATGGAATATAGTTTGAGAGTGGGATATATCAAGATTTTGAAAGTGAGGGAAATACACTGAAGTGCAAGAGGCAGATGGACAGAGATTTTGCTTTGTTTTCTGGGGGTCTGACACGTGGAAACCCTGTGATCAGCCTGGTTTCTGGTATGCACTGAAACCCATCACCATGATCAGCTGTGTCTCTGAGACATACATCAATTTGGCCAGTCGGGTGTGTGACACTTATGGAAACACATCACTGTGCTTAAGAGACTCCAAACCAGACTGAGTATCCCAAATGTGTATGTCACCTCCATATGGAAATCTGTGTCTGGGATGTCTGGAGGGACTTGCCTTGCTTACCTAACCCTGGAGATTGTGCAGTGTAGAGAGCCAAGGTGTTTATTGGGGCGGGGGAGGGGTGGGGGGAGGTTTGGGGGTTGAGGGGAGACCCCTGATATGTGCATTGGGATAACTGCTGAAGGTTAACCACCCAAAACCATATAGCTTGCCCCATTGAAAAAACTTTCTGGCAAGCTTGTCCAGCCAGGATATGACTGGCCCATTATGGAGAGGTATTTGTGGAATTAGGCATTGCGGGGAAAAGGTTGGGGAATGGGAGTAAAGATCTGCCATTTTCAACAACCCCAGGAAGCTAAGAACGTGCACTGAACCGAGTCACACCAATCTATGTGAAATTCCACCTGTCACTTTCAGACTGGTCAAGAGAGACATCCCCAAAGAGGGCGAAGAGGCAAATTGATTACAGTACTGAAAGTAAGTTTTATCTGAGTTTCTTGTGAAATAAGTTAAAGGAATAATTAACTCGGCAACTTTCACCTAGGAAAGATTTCTTTTTTAACCGTTCCTTTTGTAAATTCCCCTTTCTCCCAAGCCTCGGCGCTGTTAAGTGCTCCGAGATGCTGACCCTGTGATCGGCACTGTATACGTGCAAGTTGTTGTTGCTGTGAAGATCTTTAATAACTAACGGTTTAAGCAGCGCACAGAAGGGTAGTGAGGTTTAAGGTCTCATCTGATGCCTGGCTAATGCCCACCACACCAGGCTGACAAACGCTGAGCCAGGCTGACCTACACACCGAGCCAAGCTGACACACGCTGAACCAGGCTGAGAGTACGTGTGTTGCTGTGAGAGGTTGTGCTGTGGGAACTGGAGGGAACGCTCCATATTTGTACTTTATCCTAGTTCACGAGAATGATGTGCAGCCGATCCCTGACCACAAATGGATTTGGAATGTAAAAGCTCCCCCAGGAAAATCACAATACAGGTACCAGAGAGAGATGGGAGCAGAGACAAATGGGGGGAAGAGAGAGATGAGGGAGAGAGAGCGAGAGAGCGCGCGCGAGAGAGAGAGAGAGAGAGAGAGAGAGACAGGAGAAGAGATAGACCCAGGAAATAGAGAGAGACGGGGGAAGAAAAATGGGGGTACAAGCAAGAGAGACAGAAGGAGAGAGTAATGGGAAGGGAGGGAGAGAGAGGAGGAGAGGGATACAGAGACAGGGGAAGAGTGACGGGGCAGAGAGAATGAGAGTTGGGGGAGAGAAAGAAAGACACAAGAGCCAGGGATATTTGGAGGAAAAGTGAGAGACGAGAGAGTAAGTAAGGGGGAATATAATAATAATCCGTGTATTTGTCATCGTGCCTTATCACATCATTGAGACATCTCAAAACGCTTCACAGAATATAATGGAGTCCTGTAGCTCAGTGGTTAGAGCACTCACTTTGCAAGCGAGAGACCAGGGTTCGATTCCCGGCAGGATGAAACCTTGGGCAAGTTTCCTGCCTCCACACAGAGCCTAATGATAATCCCTCAAAAAAAAAATTGGTCATTTCAATCCACGACTGTTTGTGGGACACTGCTGTGCGCAATTGGCTGCCGCGTTCGCCCACAAATATACAGTCAATTCACTTTATAGTATATTCTGTGAAGCGCTTTGAGAAGTCGAGAAGACATGAAAAGCGCTATATCAAATGCGAGGATTATTATTACTGTGAAGTGGATTGACTCGTTTGTGGGCGAAATGAAAGAGAGATGGAGAAGGGGCAGGGGCGAGAGAGGGGGAGGGAAGAGGGGTAAGGGGAGAGAGAACGATGTGGGGTGAGATGGGAAATCGAGCGGAGAGACAGGGAAGAACACAAAGGGGAAAGTGACAGAGATGTAGGAAGGGAGGGGGCAGAGAGAGATGGGGAGAAGGAGGGGAGAGACAGAGAGAGAGACTCTGAGAGTTAGAGACAGAGCGAGATGGGGCGATGGAGGTGGGTGGGCTGTGTGGGGGTAGGAGAAAGCCAGTTGAGTGGGCTGTACAGTTGGAGCTCTGATGATTCTCTTTCTTTCAGGTTGATGTTTGACAGAGAGCCTCCAACCAGCATTGAATTCTGGGCAGTGACTTTCTCTCCGTCTTACGGTGAGCCGCGCGCACATTAACTCCAACGATCAGCCATGCTGTTCACTGGAACTCTGCTCACTACGATACCATGGGCGAGTGAGGGGTGGGGGGAGTGCGGTAGGCAGTGCCTCCTCCTGTGGGGGGGAGAGGGGGGGATTAGCTCGGTCTCCTCAGGCTGCGAGTCGGATTTGAGATGGATATGGGCCAAGAGGCGTGGGGGCAGGAAGATGACTGAAGGCGTGGTCAAAGGTCTTGAGATGGACCTTGAAGGAGGCGAGGGAAGGGGCAAGGCAGAGGGGCTGGGGTGGAACGGTGGCGATGCTCCGGTTCTGATCCCCGATTTGTTCAGCGCCTTTGGATGTCCTCCCAACGTGAAAAGCGCTTCACTAATGCAATTGTGTTGTTGCTGTTATTTTCTCCAAATGAGTTCTCTTTGTTTTCCAGGGGTGTGTGAAGTGGGACCAAAACTGATTGAATTCAGTTAGTAGGATCTGGATCTTCTGAAGTGTAAGAGGATGGATTTTCTGTCTGCAAACTGCTTCCAGCCTCTCCGAAATTATTTGCAATCCTTTACAATTTTTCAAACTTCTTTGTACTTCTTCGAAACCCTCCTCAAAAACCTCAAAATGGCTTCCAATGTCCCCTGCATTCCTCCTCTCCTCCCAACCTATTCCTTCTTCTCTCCTCCCAACCAAAGTGTCAGCTTGGCTCAGTGGTAATTCTCGGCGCTTAGTCAGAAGACTACCGGCTCAAACTCCCATGTCGAGCCTTGACCTCACATAGTCTAAGCTGACACTCCAATGTAGTGCACAAAAAATGCTGGCGGTGTGTTGCATTGTTGGAGGTACCGTCTTTCACATAAGATGTTAAACTGACTTCCTGTCTGCCTGTTCAGGTGGATATTAAGGATCCCGCAGCACTGTTTAAAAAGAGGAATTTCCCTCTCCCAGTGTCCTGGCCAGCAATCCCCCAAATAAAATTGCTCAATCATTTCATGGCTGTTTGTGGGGTATTGCTTTGCGCAAATTGACTGCCACATTCACCCATAAATACGCATTCACAATCACCTCACAAATATTTTCCAATCTCCTCCCAACATTTTCCACATCATTTACATGTTTTAGCATATTGCCTACACACATTTTCCCCATCTGTCTTTGCACTTGGCTTGCGCCTGGTGTGTCACATTTTTATGGTCAGCTGGGTACCTGACATGTATAAAAGTACATTACTATGCTTAAGATTATCCAAACCACACAGAGTTTTACATATATTACCAATGCATGGAATTCTCCTGTATCTGGAATGAAATACGAATGATCTATATCTCCCTGGAGGGGCGCACTCTGTTTACTTAATCCTGGAGAATATTAGACGCAGGTTGGCAAGAGCCAAGGCTCGGTGTGTGCTAGAACCAGGTGAACATATTCAAGACTGAGATAGATATGTTTCTTATTGCCAAAGGGATTAAGGGATACAGGGATAAGGCAGGGATAAGGGTTATGGTGTTAGCTGGAGTTAGATTAGAAGATCAGCCATGATTGAATGGCGGGGCAGAGGATCGAAGGGCCGAATGGCCTACTCCTGCTCCTACACGTTATGTTATGAAACCACATAGCTGTCTATACTTAGAGCACAGCCAGAAAAGCTTCCTGCTGCTTCCACAGCAAGGATTAACACATCAGGTCTTTGCCTTGCAGGGTTAATAAGAAATGTGTGAAATAAATGCAAACCATCAATGGACCGTTGCACACTTTAGCACAGTTTGCATATGATTAGCCCAAGGTTAGCACATGGACCTGGCATGATGTCTAACATGTTGGAGATTAGTACAGTACTCCTCTTCCTGTGTGTTCCAGGTCACGAGGCAGTCACACTGTGGGAAATTTGGGGTTTCAGAGTAAACATGCGCCTTTGAGCAGAATAATCCAGACACTGCGAAGTTGGTTGGGGTGGGGGGTGGGGGTGGGGGTGTGTTTAGATGAGTCAGGTGAAGTAAAGATATAGTGGTAATAAACCATTATGAAACTAGCTTGTGTCAGTCTGGCTTGTCTGTGAGTCAGAAAGGCATGAATTCGAGCCCCACATTTGAGACTCTGAGCTAACAGTCCAGCTGATGCTCCAGCACAGTGCAGGGGGGTGGGGGTGGGGGGAACGCAGAGAGTACCGCATTGTTGGAGATGCTGTCCTTTAACAAGGTTTTTAAGCTCATTCCCTGTGGGTGCCATGTTCATGTAGATGCAAAGATCTCTGCAGCCCTATCGGGATGAGGGGTAGAACAAGAGAAGGACATTTCGATGATGTTCCCGATGGTTATTGGGACAAACGATCATGCTTCATTCAAGTTGTGGGCGGAAATTATGCTTATGTGTGAGGATGTCTCTGTGTGTGCCTGTGTCTGCGCATGTTTGGGTATGTGAGCGTATGTGAGCGTGCACAGAAACCTGAATGGAGGGCCTGGTAAAGGGAGTGGTAGTAAAGGAAGGAGACCAGCTGGGTAGCGACAACTTTTTTCAAGGACCTTGAAGAGCAAAGGGAAGTTGGAAATGGGCCAGAAGTTAGAAAGCAGAGATGGGTCCAGGGAAGGTTTTTTTCAGGATGAGGGCTATTATGGGTGTTTTTAGGAGAATGGGAACGGTACCAGATGATCAGGAGAGGTTGATGGCATCTGAAAGTAGAGGGGCGAGGAGCTGGAGCTGGGAAATAAGGAGAGGTGGGGTTGGGGTCAAGGACGCAGGTGGTGGTTCATGCTGGATACGGCGTTGATGAAAGAGGAGGGAGAGACAGGTTCGAGGATGTAGAGGGAGGGATGTGTAGGGGTATCGCTACCTCTCTGCTTACCTCCAAACTCCAACTGCCTGCCCCCTACTAATAGACATCATGAACTCCCGTAAAAACAGCTATCATCACCCCCTCCCTAAAAACTAAGACATTCCCTTGACCCATCTCTCTTCTCAAACAACTGACCCGCTCCCCTGCATTCTCCCCCCACCCCCCGGTTTTTACCTCTCCAGGTTTGTACCTCTCCAATCTCAGCTTCGCTCCTCCTCTTGCTCCACTCCCTTCTCGAACCCTCCAATCGAGTTTCCGTGCCGCCCGCATCACAGCCAATTGCGTACCCCCACCTTACTCGCCCCACTATTGGCAGGTGGGCCTTCCGACACTCTGCCCCCACTCTCTGGAACTCCATCCCACAGTCCCTCCACCTCGCCCCCTCCCTTGTCACCTTCAAGACCCATCTCAAGACTGTCTTCTTCGACCGTACTTTTCATCTCTCTGCTTCCCGCCTTGCCCTCTGCCCTCTCCGACCCTGACCCCCACCTCCCAGCTTGGGTCCGTAACTCTGTCTGTCCAGTGCCTTGGGACGTCCTCCTGATATGAAAGATGCTTTACAAATTTAATTTTGTTGTTGTTGTTGTTGTTGAGGGTTTGAAACCCTCAACCGCCCCAGGAATCCCTCAGACTCTCTGAACCCATGCACAACTTGGGCATCAGGTTCGATCCCAAGCTTTCCCTTTTTTGTACACATCAGTTGTCTGACCAGAACAGCTTGTTTTCACCTCCGCCACATTGCTCGAGTTCATCTGCATCTTCATGCCTTTGCACCTCCTTACCTATCCAAGCTGCTTACCCACCACTCGACCACCCGCTATCGCCGTTCGGCTGGCTCCGGCCTCCTATTTGCCCCTCGTGCCATCCGTTCCATCATCAATGGCTATGACATCAGCCATTTCACTCCTAAACTCTGAAACTTGCTTTCTCAATCCCTCTGCGCTTGGCCCTCCCTCCTTACCTTCAAATCCTGAGTAAAGACCTTCCTATTTGATTGTGCTTAAGCTCACTTCCCCCTTCCCGTGGCTCGTTGTCAGACTCCATCACCTGAAAAGCTCTCCGGGACTCTACCCGGTATGAGGACACTACATAAATGCAAGTTGATGTTGTTGTGTACAGAGACAGCCTTAGTCAAAGTTAAAAATGACATTATGACTATTTTCCACCAGGACTCTCTGTCTCCTCTTCCTCATTGGTGGGTCCACTGCCTTTGACACTGTTAAACATTCTATTCTTCTCCACCGCCTCACCTCTCAGCTCCACCTTCACAGTTCTGTCCTTGTTTGTCCGTACCTTTCCCATCGTCTGCACTTTGTTTCCACCGACGGCTTCTCCTCCTGCCTCACACCGTCACGTGGGCATCCTCCCAATAGGAAAGGCGCTGTGTGAAATTCAAGTTATTGCTATAATAATCTTTATAACAGGACTTTTTCTTGATGAAGCAATGGGAGAGAATGGATGAAGGTCACGTGGTTGAGGTTGTTTACACGGATTTTCAAAAAGCATTTGATAAGAGACTTGTAAGCAATATAGAAGCCCACGGTATTCAAGAGACCATAGCAACATGGATACGGAACTGGCTGGGAGACAGAAAGCAAAGAATGGTCATGAACGGTTGTTTTTCTGACAAGGGAAGTGTGCAGTAGTGTCCCCCAGGGGTCGGTATTGGGACCACTGTTGTTGTTGATCGACATATATTACCTGGACTTGGTTACAGGGAATACAATTTCCAAGTTTGCAGATGATACTAAGCTCGGAACAGTAGTAAACAGTGAGGAGTCTGCAAGAGGACATAGACTGACTGGTAAAATGGGCAGACAGGTGGCAGATGAAGTTTAATGTGGAGAAATGCGAAGTGATACATTTTAGGAGGAAGAACGAGGAGAGGCAATATAAGCTGATGGTACAATCCTAAAGGGGATGAAGGAACAGAGAGACCCGGGCGGTCATACAAGTAAATGTTTGAAGGTGGCAGGACAGGTAGATAAAGCTGTTAAAAAGTATACGGGATACTAGGTTTCATAAATAGGGACATAGAATACAAAAGTCCTGAAGTTATGATGAACCTTTATAAAACATTGGTTCGGTCTCAGCGAGAGACTATTCAGTTCCGGGCACCACACTTTAGGAATGATGTGAAGGTATTGGAGAGAATGCAAAGGGGAATTATCAGGATGGTACCAGGAATAACTATCCACCAGTTTCAGGGGAGGCTAGTGAAGCGAGGATTATTCTCCTAGAAGCAGGGAATGTTAAGAGGAGACTTAATAGAAGATTTCAAAATTATGAAGGGATTCGATAGGGTGAACAAGGAGAAACCACTTCCACTGGCGGGTGGGTCGGTAACCCGAGGACACCGATTTAAAACAGTTGTTAAAAGAAACAGAGAGGAGGGGAGGAGAAATGGTTTCACACAGTGAGTTGTTCGGATCTAGAATACATTGCCTGAAAGGCTGGTGGAATCCAATTCAATAGCAAATTTTAAGAGAGAGGTGGATAATTATTTGGGAAGGACAGGTTTGCAGGGCTATGGGGAGAGCACAGGGAAGTGGGATTCATTTGGATAGCTCTTTTCAAAGAGCCGGAACAGACACGATGAGCCGAATGGCTTCCTTCCGTGCTGTGTAATTCTATGATTCTATGATTCTAATTTGCTGCAAACAGCCCTCTAACGTAGGGGAATCCTGTAGGGTATTGTCTCAGAAGCAAAAGGACCTGGGATCGATTCCTGGGTAGCGAGAAATCTTAGGCAAGTTTTCTTAAGGGATTCTTAAGGGTCTTGACAGGGTAGATAATATGAGACTGTTTCCCCTGGTTGGAGAATCTAAAACCAGGGGCCATAGTCTCAGGATTAAAGGTCAGCCCTTTAGAACTGAGTTGAGAAAACATTTCTTTACTCAGTGGGTAGTGAAGTTATGGAATTCTCTACCCCAGAAGGCTGTGGATGCTCAGTCATTGAACATATTCAATTCAGTTCGATTGCATTTAATCAATTGAGATCGATAGACTTTTAAAAACTAAAGGGATTAAGGGATATGGGGATGGGGCGGGTAAATGTAATTAGGTTAGTAGATCAGCCATGATCTTATTAAATGGCAGGGCAGGCTCGAAGGGCCGAAGGTCCTACTCCTGCTCCTATTTCTTATGTTCTTATGTTACTCC